GGGGGCGAACCAGCTGCCCGTGGGATCCCCAAGCAGGGTGGGTGCCAGGTCTCCTTTTGCACAGCTCCTCAGCAATGGAGGGGTGTAGGCAGGCTGGCTCTGCTGAAGGAGGGAGCTCCTGGCCAGCAGGGCTAGTAGCCACCCGAAGCCCCTCCTTCACAAATCCGTCCAACAAGGCCTTCCAGTTCGGTGGCCATCACCTCCTCCTGGGGCAGCAGATTCTATACTTTGACTATATACTGTGTGAAGAACTTCCTACCTATGGGGTGGTGTGACGTGGTGTCCTGCAACAGCAGGGGGTTGGACTTGATGGCCTTCAGGGCCCTTCTGACTCTTCTGTTCCGTGATTCCGTGATCTGCCTCCCTCTCCCCTTTGCCCTCTTCATGGCTGACTGGCAGCACCTCTGTCATGTCTCCCCTGACGCACCTTTTTTCTAACCTGAACAGCCCCAGTTCTCACAGCTGACATGTGGAACAGGGAGAGAGAATGAAGGAATGAGTGAGGTGCATGAGGGAGACGATGGGAGTTGGCTGGCTCTGGACGAGTGTGCCGGCGTTGCGTGCCGGCAGGGGAGCCGGCCCTTTCCCCTTCAGGCAGGCCGCACGTGCATCCTGGCTGCAGCCAGCTCACCCCTCAGCCTTAGACAGGGGGTGATGTAAGTGGGGCATGGTGCAAGGAGATTCGGACTCGGTGGCTGCAGGATAGCGATGCTCAAGCCCTTGGCTGCAGCCTGTGCCACTAATGCTACACCACTGGCGCTTGACCAGCAACTTCTCTGCCTTCACTCTGGCAGCCCCCAGGCAGCCCTGCACATCTGGGGTACTTTTTGGCCGAAGGAGATGTCCCAGTACTTGGAGAGAATTTCCAGCTGGCATTGCACCGCCTGTGAAGAGCAGAAGCAACACGCCAGCTGGAATGGGCTTTGTCCCTCACACACAGTTCAGAGCATTAGGCACCTGTCTCAGTCATAAACCTGCTCGGTTCGGTGCCCTCCTCCTCGGCGGGGAGCCATTCTCCAAGGTCCCTGGCGGTGAGGGCTCCCCTTCCGTGTGCAAGCATTTGCTCCATCATGGAGCGATGGCCATTTACCACCACATTTCCCGTTCATGAGGCTCTGACCGCAGCACAAATCAATGCAGACCTGAATAATTCTTGAGGACTTGCATGTGCAGCTGACGCGATTCCACCTCATGTGCGTCCTCCTTCTAAAAGAGAAGCTGAAATATACATTTATGCAGATCCAGATAATTGCTGCATATTTGCATGCACAATTGGCTTAATTGTGCCACAATCTAGCCTGCCACAGAAGTGGAGAAAGTTTCATTTTCTGGTACATTTCTTGTTGTCATGCTTCACCTAATTATACTCAAACAAGATTTCATTTTGCCCGCAAAAGACAAGAAAACCCTTTTTAAACCCTGACTGTTTTTGTGAATCTTGCAACATTTTTATTCCTGAATGGTAAAAACAATTCAGGCCATGTTTCTGGCTTAATTTTTTGAAGTGAACTTTTTTCAGCCACCTCTCAGTGAAGGCTTGAGCCAGGACCAGGGTATGTTGCTGCAATACATGCCCACCATTTTATTTGGCTTTCGCGTCCTCCTTCCTGCCAGGACAGAACTAATCAATTAGACTCCTAAGCAGGGCCTTCGCTTTTGTGTTTGAAATGTGCATTTCTGTACATGCATTTTTTCAAAGCCAAGAGCATGTAGGAAACAAACACCCAAACAAGGAGGTGGAAAATGTGCTGTGATTTTCAACGGTATTTTCCGAGGCAGGAATTGCTGCCTGGGAGAAGGAGGTGGGAATGCACCTTTCTGTAGCCCAGCTTATGCAGCTTAAAACTGGATTCCACCCACTGGTTTAGCATCGCAGAACTTGGTTATATCATTTTGATTTTTTTTGGGGGGGTGTAGTTTCATGATCTTAATGTGACTGTGGGGAGGCCTACCAAGGAAATACCTGGTGATCTTAGTCCAAATTCATGTGGCACTTTCCTTTCCTGAGTATGTATTGTGGATAGGATTGGACTCGGTTCTGGATTCAAGCCCTGCTCAGCCATCGATTTGCATGGCAGGTATGACGAGCGTTGCAAGTTTGAAGGGTTCTGCTGGTGATGCAGAAGGACAAGAGTCAAGACTTCCAGCTTTGGAAGGAAGAGGAGAGATTAGATTCTCAGGAGACCATTGCTGTGGGCCCAGCATTTCTGTCAGAGCTGTCTCTCAAGAAGAGAAGACAGTCAATGATTTAGTGCAGTGTTTTCCAGTTTGGCACCCTCAGTGTTGTGGCCTACAGTTCCCTTTTTCCCCAGCCCACACGCAGTGATCTGCTGACCACGATGATAGGAATTGTAGTCCCACACATCCAGAGAGTGCCCAGTTGGGAAACCTGATTGTGTGCCTATCCACTCTGCACTGAGAGCACATGGTTGCTGCCGCCACTCCACAAATCTTCCCTGCATCACCTGTTAGCACCTAGTTGAAGCAGGTGTGAGGTGCAGCCTCACTGTCCTCGGTGCTGCTTTTGTACTGCTGCAAAAGAAATGCATCTTGTTCGTATTTTAATGTGAACTCGCCTCATTTGCCACATTTGTAGCTGCATGAAATGCCGCTGTCCTTTCAAATCCCCACTTCTTCAATTCATGGGCTAGAGTTCACAACGATATGAACAAAACCTCATTTTTTTAAAGGGATTATGCAGAAAAAGTGGACATCAGTGCATGCATGGCTGAAAATGCTGTTCACAATGCACTGGGCTAGGAAACCTGCAAGAACGTGGCATCCTGGGCAAAACTGTGCAGCTAGTGACAGAGCTTGGCAGGCTCATCCGTGCCAGCGCTTCAGTGGCAGTGCCCGCAGGAGCTGCGAAATCCTGAGTGAGTCTCTCACTTCATGAACCTGCTTCACCTGGGCAGTGCTGAGAGACGTGGCCCAGCTGCTCTCAGCTGGAGTTCTGAGCATATGGGGACCCCGGCCGGTTCAAACCACCAGGCTCTCTAGTCCAGTGTTCCTTTCCCCAGCACAACCAGTGGAATATGCCCAGCAAACCAAGAGTTAGGCCCAAAGACAAGTCCCTGCTATGTTATTTCCCTCTAACAGCCGGTATTTAGAGGTGTCCTCACTTGGAACAAGGCTGTTTTATTTGGCTATCACGGCTAATAGCTGCTGGGAGACCTGTCCTCTGTAAATTTATTTCTCCCTTTTGAAAGCCATCTCCATTCACAGCTATCACTGCAACGATGGCAGAGGCTTTCCTGCATTAAATATGCATTGTTTGGAATGCCAGACCTGCTGCCACCTGTCCACGTCATGGTGTGAATTCATGTTCTTGCACTTGCAATGGGGAAGAAACCCCACGTGGTTCTTAATTTTACAGGACTCCATCACAGAGAGAGAGAGACCAAGAGATCACTTCTTTTTTTCAAGCCTCGCCCAGCATGTGCCAGGCTCTTCACATCCTGGGCTGAGCCGCACAGTGCCTTCCTAGCCTCCTTGGGCGGGGGCAACCTGAGCTGTGGGCAACCGACTCTCCGAGTGTGGCCTCGCCGTGAGGAGCAAAGGTTCCCCCCCTTCACTTTCCACCCCTTTTCACCATGCCATTTAGGCGGAGTTTGCCCTGTCCAACTTTCACTCTTTGCTGGCAGCCAAAGCCTCTTTCTGAGCCATTGTGTCTGCAATGTATTGATTTATTATATTTACACCCCACCTTTCCGCCACTGTGGACCTCAGAGTGACTCCCTGTGACTCCCAGGTGGCCCCCCTCCAAGCCTGGGCCAGCCCCAGACCGCTGAGCTGCAGCGTGGGGGCTGATACCTCATGTGCCTTCAGGCCTGACTCTGGATGAACCCTGTAACATGCACAGGGTGGCCCATGCGCAGAGATCCCGGACGCCGAAAGGAGGCGCACGGAGGGTGGTGCGTAGGGGCTGATGGTAAGGACTGAGGCTTGCCCATCCTCGTGACCACTCGGTCTGCTCCCGCTCTGAGCAGAGCCTCTCGGTTGCCATCAAAGCCAGTCCTGGTGCTCGATCCTGCCGGCAGCACGCTAGCTCCCGAACGTGGCCGCCTGCAAACCATGCAAAAGTGGATGGGGCTCTTTCGGTGTGATATGCTGCAGAAAATGTCCGGAATGCACTGGCTGTCAACCCTCCCGGGGGAATCCCAGAAATCCAGCATGCCTCTGGCAGTAAAACATACCGAACCAGACTAGCAAATACCGACCATTTTCTAGTGTCAGCCTTAAGGAGAGATTTCACTGAACACATTTTAAACATGCCCCGGATGCCTTTGAGATCAATGCTAGTTCCCCAGGTTCATGATGGTTGGGTTGGGGTGCACACAGGGGACGTATCCCACCAGGGCAGAGCAAGTTTGGACCAGAGTTGCCCAGACCAATATGCGAGCTTGACCTGGGAGTTTCCCCGCCACGGTCGACCTGACCAGCGGTCTGTGAAAGGCTCTCTGGCTGGCCTCACTTGCGCCCTTGCAGTTCTCCCCTTTGACCAGAGATGGCCCCCTTGGGCCTCTGGAAGGGCTCTTCCTCCAGTGCAGGGGCTCCACCGGTGGGGCAGGTGCTCTCTCCCCACACTGCGGCCCATTTCCTGGCTGGACCCTCTGCTGAGTTCCCTCAAGCCCCTGGCCCCTTCTCTGCAGCATTTTGAACATCCGCTGTGAGGGTTTTCAAGGACATTGGCAACAATTCTTGGCCCCTCTCATCCGCCATCCCTGGCCAAGGCAACGTATAAGCAGGAAGTTCTTCAATGCGCCGAGCCTAAATCCTGCTTCCCCACCGCCCTTCCTCTTGAGCCCTTTGCACCCATCCTCACAGACAGGGCTAGCCGCTCATCGTTGCAGGAAGCCCTTGTTCCCCATTCTCTGCTCGTGCCCTTCTTCCTTGCACGGACCCTTTGCCGCCCCACACTTGCCCTCCCTCTTCGCCTCCCCAAGCATGCACCCAGCCAAGCGGTGGCCCCGCTCTGACTGCTCTGTGGTGTGTTGCAGTTCGTGGCCCGTGGCAGGACTGGTCCCCCTGGAGTCTGTGCTCGGTGACTTGTGGGCGAGGGTCCCGGACCAGAATGCGGCCGTGCGCTGCTCTGCAACTGCGCAGGATGGCCTGCGAGGGGCCCACAGCCCAGACCAAGCCCTGCAGTATCACGCTTTGCCCTGGTTAGTAACTGGCTCCTTGAGTTTCTTCCCCACCGCAATGTTTCCCAGTCCCTCCATCTTTAGGCTTCCTTCTGTGCCCACAGTTGCCGATAGGCCAGCTTACACAGCCATTTCTGAGCGTGCAAAAGCAGGTCTTGGACACCCCCGCCCCGTAAGGTGGTCTGAAGGGCACGGAAGCACGGATTTCCGCATTGTTCGGGACCTCATTCACATTTCCTCAATACTTGCAGAGCGGGGAGGGGGAACTCCCAACTTGTGGTAATTTTTCACCAGCAAAAGGCTGCTCAGGAGAGAAGGCACAAAGTCTTCCCTGGTGCAGAGGAGCCCCCTTCCCTCTGCAGGTTCATGGGACCCCTCCCCCCCCCATGCCTCCCCTCGTTCTGCCCATGAGCATCAAAGGAAATGCATCGGGGACTCCCTCACTGCCTAGGCAGATGGTGCCGCTTGAAAGGCAGAGCGGCAGGAGAAAATGCAGCACACACAAAGCCGCTGCGACTGAAAAATTCTGCTCCAAAAAGCGCAACCAGCCAGAACCCTCAAATGCAGAGGCAATAACGGCGAACCCTCAGCGCGGTCCTGTGGCAATGAAATGCTGGAGCGAGGCAGTGGTAAATCGTGAGAGCAAAGCGTCGCAGCCATAAAGAGCACGTTTCAGGCGGCAGGGACAGTCCTAATAGGATGCTAAACCTAATATACTGGCACCCCACGACAATAACCAGGAGGCCCTCCTTCACCTTTCCCGTCCTTCCCGTGGTTCCTTGCCATGATGCACCTTTACTGGATCCCCGGTATTTGGGCATGTGTCTATCCCATTCGTCTGCCTGCTTTAGCAGCACAATGTGCTGGCTGACGGCTGCCCTGAGCAGGCCGTCACTCTCAGGGACTGCCGCCCTTGGATGCTCGCTGGCCGCTGTCACTCTGCCTGCCTGCCTGCCTGCCTCCGCTCCTGCCCATTGGGCGCAGTGTGCTGTGTGGAGCAGGGTTGCCGACCAGGCATGTGCCCTGTGCAGCCCCCTGGCCATCCTTGCCAATGAGGCTTCTTGCAAATGCATCCCGGCAGAGCATCAGGCCCAGGCCGAGGCCCAGAATCTGCCAGATTCCCTGGGCTTGTCTCCCCGGGCTCTGGTCCACTCCACTGGGGTCCTGAGTCCAAGTCTAGTGAGCGTGCCCGGTGTTCACAGCCCCCCCCCCACGAATCAAGCGCTGGTGCTGCCCAAGCACTCTGCACCAGACGCAGGAGAGGGCTGCCTGCCTCCGGCCCACCGGGGAGGGAGCCCCGTGCACTCGCGGCCCCAGCAGTGTCCCTCGTGCGTCCCACTGTGATGGGCTTCATTTCTGCTGCTGCTGCTGCTGTTGCTCCTGGCGCAGAAACTGTTTTTTGGCTGTGCAACCTTCTTTCTGAGAGCATTGCGGATTTCCTTTCAGCCCAGCTCAGCTCGCTTCCCGAGATGGGGCTGAGCACAGGAGGAGGTCCGTGAATGCTGGAGGGAGGGATTCCTCTGGATTTTGGCCAAGCCCTAGATGAGACTGGAGCTGCAGCGAAGCAGAGTCACTCCCTCACAGCACAGGGTGCCTACTGGCCCTCTTGGCCAGCCTTCAGCTTTGGCTGAACACTGGCATTTATGGGATCCATCATGCCTTTCTCCACAGCACCCCCCGCCCCAGTCCCTTGGCAGTGCTTGATGTCCAAACATGGGTGGGGAGAATCCAGTTGGGGATGGAGGCCAGCGAGTCTGGGGCAGGACATTAGGAGCAAAGGGTTGCCTGCAAGACTTCCGGGACTGAGAGCAGGTACCCGAGGGCTTGTTCCAGTGATGGCCAAGCTGCAGGAGATCCCTTGCGTGTGTTCCCCGCTCTCGGGCAATGCCCCTTCCTGTTGGAGGCAGCCCTCTGGCCAGGAGCTTCCCACTACCACCTGCCCACTGTCTCTGGCAAGCTGCACCCCCAGGAAAGGAAAGACTCACAGAGCCCGGCAAGGCTCTTGGGACAAGTGGGGGAGAAGCCACAAGCAAGCGAGCAGTGGCCGGTGGGGGGGGGATCATGACTGCAGCACCCCCAGTGCCAACTCCTGCAGAGCTTCCTAATGAATGATGCAGGTGGAAGGGAACTAAATGCACAGGCACGTGCCTGGAGGATCCTGCGGCCGAGCACGGAGCCAGACGGGCTGATCATGATGGCAGAAAGAGAGGGTAGTCCTTGCCTCCCCCGCCCCCCTCCCAGCTGCTCCACCAGCACTGACGGGACTTGCCCCCTGTGCTTTTCTGTGACAGTGGAAGGCCAGTGGCTGGACTGGGGGTCCTGGAGCCGCTGCTCCGTGTCGTGCTCCAACGGGACCCAGCAGCGCACCCGCAAGTGCAGCGTCGCAGCTCACGGCTGGGCGGAGTGTAAAGGGGCTCACGCCGACGCCAGGGAGTGCTACAACTCAGAATGCCCAGGTAAGGGGGCCCTGCGACGTCCCCTCCACGGGGTGGGGGAGCAGAAGAGGGCCAGTGGGCACAGGCGAGAACCCACAGGCCAAAAGCTCCATGGAGGTGGGAATCCTCAGCACGCCGTCCTTGGCCAGGACGAGCCTTGGCATGAAGTGAGTGTGGCTCAGGGGCTTTCCAGCCCGTCGTGGGAGGGGACAGGAAGCATCTTGATGGGTGTCTGACTGCAGCAGAGATGGCAGAGCCCGCGTGTTGCAATCGTTGTACTGGGATTTGGGTGAACGGGGTCCTGGTCCCCAGTTGGCCACAGATCTTTGGCCAGTCTCTAACTTTCAGGCCAAGCGACCTCACATGGTTGTGGCAAAGATACAAAGGGAGGAGAAGATCCATATGAGCCACCTGAGGCTCCCGGGAGGAAAGGAGGAGGGCCGTCAAAGAAATATGAGCTCCCAGTGTCTCCAGTGAAGCTGGTCTCTGTCCTTCCAGAAATGAGAATGATGTCATTAGGACCCATCGGGACCTCTGGGCATTGAGCCGGGAGCCTCGCAGCCTGAGCCCTGAGCCCAAGGGAGCCTCCTGAGGGTTGCCCGTGTGTGCACCCTTTTGAGGCAGGAAAGGGACCCAGTGGGTGTGACATCAGCCAGCGCAGACAGAGGCCGTGTGGCACCTCTGCATCCAGGTCTTGTTCTTGGTCCAGCTGCCCAAGGTCAGAGGTAGTTGGGATATTTGTTTGTTTGTTTGTTTAAAAAAACGGATACCCTGCCCCACCCGATGAAAATCCGATGGGCCCCTAGTCAGCGCCTTCAACACCACAATGCAGCCATTTATAGCCCAGAAATGGCGACGGGCATCCGTGTTAACACAGCAGAAAGACGGTTCCTCCAGAGAAAGTAGCTGAGCTTGCACGCCAAAGGCTGGGGGCCATCAAGTCTTCACCTGGTGGCGAACAGACATCAGAGGAGGCACAGGGTGAGCTTTGCCGGGAAGACCTTCCTCCAAAGTGGCGCCACAACCTAAGAGGCCCCTTCCCAAACCGCTCCCCCGACATCTGCAGGCACGCCGGTCGCTCAGCGAAGTGCCAGCTGTGAGCCTTTCCACGTGCTTCTTGAAAAGGTGCACATCTGCAAAGGTTGCTCCGGAGTCATTCCTCTTTTAGCTTCTTGTAATCCACCACAGAATGTCTGTTCTGGGGCAGGCCAAAAATACCATGCACGAATGGCTGCTGCATCAGATCCGAGCTGCGCACTGCTTTCCAGCCCCGGGTCCTTTCCTTGGGTGTGCAGTGCAGATTCTTGGCTTCTGGATCCTGGTTTGACACTGCCGGAGACGCTCAGCTTGCTCCCAGCCAGGCCCCAGGCCTCGAGCAAGGCACCCTGCTCTGCCGGCCTGTCTGGAGTGACAGCTGCTCACCATAAAGTCTCTGCAGTGATGTGGTGGCCTCGGAGATGCCAATCACCCAGTGGCAGTGACTGATGGCCCCGCTCCCTCCTCTCCCCCGCCCAGCATCCATTATCAATTGCCGGTTTTTTGCGGAAGAGTGACAGCTGGGGCTGGAGGCCTGGAAAACTGGATGTGGCCAGGGCCGGCTGTTGGGGGTGCGGAGCCCTTCGGCTCTCTCTCTCTCGTACATGATCCGAAGCGGCTTTGCTTTTCTCCTTTTCCAGTTTGCAGAGTGCTCTGAGGCGCTCTTCCTTGCACAGAACCTGCTTGGCAGGCCGCAGATGTTCAGCTTGCTCCGGCAGGCATGTGGTCTATCTGGGGGCTTGAATGCAGCTCTCCCGGCTCTGATCCTGGGAGATGTTTCTTAGGTGTTTCCGGATCGGACCCCTCTGGGGGCAGACTTGCCGCTACTTTGGAAGCCCCCCCCCCCATCCCAATTCAGAATAACAGCAACTGGAAAGGCCTGTTGTCATGGCTGGCTAGCCAAAGCCAAGCCAAGTTGCAATACTCTTATATACAGTTGCCAGCAGAACCCTCCCTGACCTGCTGCCCTCCAGCATAACTAGTTGGGGATTATGGGAGCTGTAGTCCAACGTACCTGAGGAACATGAGGAGAAGGCTTGGTCACTGCGTTGGACTAAGACTGGAGAGATTTGGGTTGAAATTCCCCTCAGGCATGAAGCTCGCTGGTTAGCCTCACTCCCCCCCCCCCCCCGTTCTCTTTCTTGCAGCTTAGCCCACACCACAGGGTTTTGGGCAGGATAAAATTTGGGGGTGGGGGAATGATTGCCTACACCTAGAGACCCACCTGGGAAAGGGAGGACATGATGTCATGAACTGGTTCAGGACATATGGGAGCTTCAGGATCTGAGCTATTCGCACGGCAGCCTTACTTTCCGACCTGCAAAGCACCTCCTTCCCAGCTAGCCTCGCCTGCTGCCTTCCATTCGTCCATTCTGTCCAAAAGTCCCCCAAGGGCAGCGTGTGCGGTGCCTTTCCGGCTTCAGTTCCAGTGCAGATCCCTTCTGGGCTCTCCTCCTGCCCCGGCCCTCCCCACTTCTACCACCCACCTTCCAGGCTCAGCAGCCCATGCCGCCTTCACAGCCCCCTCTGTCATCAGTCTGCTAGCCAGCCTTCTCCTCCCCACACCCTTCCCCCGGGACCTATGCCTCAGAACACCCTTCCTACAGCTGCCTGGGCCCTTAGGACGCTGCCTTCCAAGCATTCTGCCCAGAGCCCAGGCTGTGTGAGGCGCCCATCCCAGCCAAACCGACCATTTCCCTTTCCCTCATGGGAGCCAGACAGCAATGCTTCTAGCAGGAGCTTTGGAGCATCCTTGGTGCCACAGCAGCTAAGCCGGTCAGCATGTCAGGTGCACAATCCAGTCACCACTTCTTTGGCATCTTTGGTTCCCTGGGGGCAGAGAGCTTTTGCCATCAGCCCAGGGGACTGGGGCCACCGGAAGGCTGGTGGCCTCAAGCCAAGGGGCTGGTCAACCTGGCCTGTCCATTGGCCAGCAAGGAGCAGCTGCAGGGCACTTGCTTCCCCTCCTTGCCAGGAAGAACCCTTAGCTCTGGCTGGTGGTTTTCCTGCTGGGATTGCAGAAGGAAGAGGGAAGAACAGTGTGGCTCCATCCACTGGCCTAAGGACGCCATTCTTGCAAAGGCACCCTGCCATTTAAATTCCCACTTGGAGCTTACTATCTTTTCTGGTCTGGAAGCTGATCTCCATTTCGCTTTCCTTGCATGTCTCATCAGTTTAGGTTTTAAGCCTGAGGGCACGACTTGTCACTCCTTTTGATTGATGGGAGTTGTTTTGGGAGACAATGATTGAAAAGCAGAATAATAATGCAGTAAATAAACAAACAGGTAAACAGCAAGCTCTCAAACTCCCAAGATGCTGGAAATAACCTGTCCCAATCCTTTCCACTGCTGCCCCGACCAGTTTTCAGCCACCCTTCTCCTGCTTACAGTGGCTCCGCCTTCCAGGAGAAAGGGCTCCACCAACTGCAAAGTCCATTTATCCTCAGGTGTTGCATGCCAGCAGTTGGATGGCCAGGTAGGAGCATTGCCGTGGAAGATGGGGCAGGGAGTGCTTTGGTGCGCAACCGGCTTCCGCCATGCAGTGTCCTCCAGATCCTTTGGTCTGTAAGCACCATCCTTTAAGATTGATGTGAGCTGCACCCTGCCTTTCTCCCCAAACCTGGGGCTTAAGGCAGCTCACAGAACCAGCTCAAATGCATCAAAGCAATGTGTTGCGATGCAATTATTATTAAAAGCGGCACTGGGCCACGAGACCCACTTACAGGTTAAGCCAGTTTTAAGTAAAGGAGCCTTTGAGGCAGCGAAGAGGGAGGGAAGGGGTTCCAGTGCCTGGGCCTTCTGTCCTTGCTGTTGACGAGGCCGGCAGGGCCGGATGGGAGGTGCAGCCCTCCCTCTTTGGAACATCTGGAAGCCCCCACTCCCAAAAGGCTGGCTTTTCTTGGCTGCTGCCCACCCTGGCTGCGTCAGTCAAGGGCCATCTCTCTTGCTCCCTTTTGCAGGCGGCCCCAGAGAGGTTGCCCCTCTGTGTGCTGTATTCTGACAGGCTGAAATCCCACCAAGGTGGGTGACTGGGTTGGGTCATGGGGCCCCCTCACAGGGCCAGCTATGAAGACCCGCTTGTGCCTTTCCCCCAGTCGGCCTAAGCAGTCAGCAAAACCAAGTGGTAGAACTTCTTCTAGGCTTTCTTTCAAATAATAGAACAAACTGCCTGCGCATACGAAGCTCGCGTGTCAAGCAGAAGGATCAAGCCCACTAGCCTTCTCCCCGATGGGCTGTCTCTCTTTGCACGAGTCTCACTTTGTTAGCCTCCACTGGAGGATGTTAAAACTCAGCGGCTCCTGCTGCAGCCTGGAATGGTACGGTCTAGAAAAGGGCCAATGGGACAGACTTGGGAAGAGCTAAAAGGAAGGGAGGCGAAACCAAGAAACTGCTTTGTAGGGGCTGGAGTAGCATTTTCCACTTTAAGGGTTAGGAATGAATGGCTCCTGTGAGCCCAAGGTATCCTTCTATAAAGAGGCTGTCTGTTGGCTCTCTGAATGATTCCTTGTGCTGGCTTGGCTATCTTCCCAGCACCCTCCACTGGATGTACACAAGCCCCTGCATCTCTCGGTTAAGTGTGGTTGGATCCTGCCTGTTAAGAGAGACTGCAGAATTGCCCCCTTTGTGCCTCACTGCATAAGTCACTGGCAGAAGGCAAGACCAGAGCGCTCTGCCTCCAGGCGGCCAGGGTGGGGGGCCGGCAATTCTGGGGCAGTTGGACACTTTCTGTTGCAGAGCGTTGGCTATCTTTTCTCAGGGGCACCTCCCGCAAACAAGGACTTGCACAGAAATGTAAAGTGTGGGTTGCACGACTCCAAAGAAGGGTCGCTCCTGCACATTCTTAAAAAAAACCCTTTTTGGTGTGTCGGGGGCACAGCGAGCCTCAGAATAATTCTGTGTTCAGAAATGTGGAAGGATTGGGCCAATGCGGGCTCCGGATGTGGGAAGCTCAGCCTCGGATCAGGGCCAGTGGGCGCCGGTTTGGTTGCTTGTTGCTTGGGATAGCGATTCTTGTTTGGCGGCTGCTTTGGGTGGCTGCGTTTGTGTGGGAGCAGAATTAAACCCTGTTCCTCACGCTGGTGGAGATCTGCAGATTCGGAGCCTTGAACGGAAAACACCCTGAGGAATGGAAATGAATCCCATTTGTTAAGGGCACCCTCCGGTCGGTCGCAGCTTGGGAAGGGGAGAGGGGACGGTGTTGCTTAAATGAGATCTGAATTATTGATAAATGGGTTTAATCATCCGTGGAATATTTGATTAAAGTAATTATCAGCCTGCACAGTTGTACCCCGGTGCTAAAGAAGGGATTCTGCTATCTCCCTGGCATTCTCTCCATCCTTCTGGCTAATAGGAATTTAGCTGGGGAGTGTGTGCGCGTGCACGCGTGCGTGCTGGGAAGATCGCCTGACTGCCCTCCCTTTCTCCTTCCTCGAACTGCAGCTGACAGCAAGTGGGGACCCTGGAGCCACTGGAGCTTGTGCTCCAAGACTTGTGACACAGGCTGGCAGCGACGCTTCCGTATGTGCCAGGGCACAGGCGTGCAAGGCTACCCGTGCGAGGGCAGCGGGGAGGAAGTCAAGATGTGCAACGAGAAGAAATGCCCAGGTACCTGTCCCTGCCCCAGCGGCTCTCCCTGTGGCTCAGCCCTCCTCCAGGCCACTGCAAAACGAGCTGTCTCGCCTTCCCCTCGGAGCAAGATGCATTTCAGCGCACACGGGGCCTGATCCGCCCTCCTCTGCTGCTCCACTGCCCCCCCACCCCGGAATGAGGCAGCTGCCTGGGTATTTGCATCTTTGCACACTGGCTTTGTGCCTGCTTCACGCTCTTCATCTTTCCTTTCCCCTCCCCACCAAATTCAGTTCGTTGGTCCTCTCAAGAATTACTTGCCCTCTTTCAGCTCAAGTTCAAGTTCAGAGAAGTTTCGGGGAGGGGGGCATCCCAGCGGTGGGAGGGACAAGAAGCAAAAGCGGGGCCACGTTCCAAGAATACCAGCCCAGCTCCAAGCTCTTTTCATTTACAGCTTTTACTGTCGGTGACTAGGCCCAAGGGGAGGGGGCGAAGTGTGCAAGCGGCAGGAAAACACCAAAGCACCAGCAGCCGAGGGTGTGGGGGTGGCTGTCAGGAGAGCTTAGGGGGCTGGTCTGGCACCCCTCTGCTAGCTCTGATCACTCACCCTGCAGATTAAACCTGGCCCCCCTGCCTGGGAGAGGGCCAAGCCCTGGAGAGAAGGGGGGATTCATTCTTCTTGCTGAAGAGAGAGAATCAGGCCGAGTGAAGTCAGCACAGGCAGGCAGCGTGGCGCCGCTGGGTTAGCCGGCTCTTCCCGTCTCTGAGGGGGCTGGTCGGCTGCATTTCTCTGGCCCACGGAGCAGCCTTGCAAGGCGCTCTGTCTGCATCTGCACTTGGCCGGCCAGCCAGGTGCTCACACTGGCCCCTTTTCCTGGAAGTGCTCTGCTGCCCAAGTGTCGCTCATTCGGTGATCCCACAGGGCCCCGGATGGGATCGGGCATGGCTAGCAGGGCGATGGGACTGGGGTCCTCCTCTCCTCTTTGCTGGGCCTCTTTCTTTACGAAGGGCTCCCAGCTGCGTGGAGAGGAAGCCTGCAAATGCAGCCGACCCCCATCTTTGGTGCAGGGGCACCTCGGCTGCGAGACACCCAGGCAGAAGCGAGGTGCTGCCCGTGTGCGTTCTGGAGGGCTCGACAGCTGGCCGACCCCTGTGGGCGCCCCACACGTGAGGCCACGTGTGCCTGTGGGACCGCAGGCCGGAGTCCTGGGTGCCGAGCTGAGGGAATCCGACAAACCAATGGGCGTCCCTCGCAGGGCCCAAATGTAGCTCTCCGCTTAAAGCTACCCTGTCCCCCTGACCGGGGGTCTTTCCCCTTCAGTGGGTCTCCAGCTCTTGGACAGCCTCTCCCGAGGCTTAGTGGCCGGGAGCAAGAGCTGTTGGCCCAAACACGTGGGCCTCCCTGCCCCACCCGCCTTGGCAGGCCACCCCGGAGCTCCCAGCCAAAGCGGGTCCTGTGTCCGGATCTGCACTAACACGTGCGCCACCCTGCCCGCTAGCCATGGCCCCCCTCGCAGACCCACCCAGTCTCGCCCCTGCATGCCCCAGGTGCTCGCCACACTCCCCTCGGGCCGCGCTGCCGGCCCACCCACCTCTCCCGCTTCTCCCGCTGCAGCCTACCGCGAGATGTGCAAGGACGAGCACGCCACGCTGGTGGCTTGGAAGAAGGCGGCTGCCGGCGAGATGGTCTACAACAAGTGCCCATCCAACGCCACAGGTGGGCCGCTGCCCTGCTCTTCGCAGGCTCCGCGCAGGGTCTGGGCACCTGCGGTGGGGGGGAGTGCAGAGGGCCCCATGGGGGCTGCACAGGGGCAGGAGTTTCCTGCGGAAAGTGGGGGACCCTTCCCCGCCTCTGCGCCGGCAGTCCCGCTCCAGTTTGCGCTGCCAGCACTTTAGGGCCCACAGGGGCCCCATGACATCCCTCCTCTGCCCTTCTGGGGCGACTGTGCCCTCACCAGCGTTTATCTTAATTTTTAGAACATTAGACTCTGATGGCACAGCTTCATTTGCACAGTTTCAAAACCGCTTTGCACCTCCCACTTAAAATGTGCACAGAGTCAGCTTTGGGGCAAGACTCTTGCAACGGCTCCCCTTGGAACATCCCCGGGGCTCCCCCCGGCCCCGGCCGGACGTTTTGCACACGCTCGCGCGTGGAGCGGCGCTGAAGGGGGCCAGCCGCAGGCCACTGCAGCATCGCGCCGTTTCCTCGTTAAATGCCGGGATGGGGCCCACCCGCAGGTCGGGTCCTGGGCGGGCCATGGCCCTGTCCAGGCAGCAGTGGCCCCGGGCTGGGCAGCGGGCCTCCCTGGTCGCCAAGCCACGTGTCGCCTGCCTCCTCTCCTAGGGTCCGCCAGTCGCCGGTGCCTGCTCAACTCCCACGGGGTGGCCTACTGGGGCGCCCCCAGCTTCGCCCGCTGCATTTCCCACGAGTACCGATACCTGCATCTTTCGGTAGGTGCACCAAGGAGACCGCCCCCCTCGGTGGCCCCGATTCGGCGCTTTCCCCATTTCCTTCGGAAGAGCTGCGGACAAGGGGAGGCGGTGTAACGGCCAGCCCTGACGCACAGGGGGTTCTTGTGGCTGCAGCACCCAGCCCTGTGGATCCATTCACACGGCCCGTGTTTGCACCGGGGAGGAGGCCCTGTGAAAGCCGTGGGGTCTGCACTGCTCATCCGATGCCAGACCACCCCAAATACCTTGCCTTCCAGCAAGGAAGCCAGCGTAGCGTCGTGGCGAGAGCCCTGAACTGGGACTCGGGAGATTCGGGTTCGAGCTTACCGCGTGGCTTTGGGCCAGCCACTGACTCCCAGCCTAACTACCTCCCAGGGTTGCTGTGAGCATAAGACTGAGAGGAGGAAGATTATGTAAGCCACCTTGAGTATGTTGGATGAAAAAAGGTGGACTATAAATGTAAGGAAATAAAAACGGGAAAAGAGGAGAACCTGGTAAACCGACTTGGGTTTCTTGCAGGAACAATAAAAGCAAGGGATATATGCCCTCTATGCAATAAGCTCAGAGGGAACAGGAAAGGCTGAGGGGAAGACGGTGATGGGATCTCCTAGCATGGGAATGGTTTCGAGCCATCAACTCATGGCTCCCAGTGTGGATCATGGAGCACCCCTTGGAGAAAGTTCCGTAGGGTTCAGCAGGGTCCAGCACTCCTCAGCTTCTCAGCCCCCAGACCAGCCTGCGTGCTGGGTCCCCTCGAGCAGGGTGCTGTTGTAGGAGCCCTCCCAGACTAGCGACAGAGCTCCTTCGCTCTGCCCTGCCTCACGGGGCCCTTTCTGAGGGGAGATGCTGGCCTGGCCTGCGGAGCAGAAAACTTGAATGCAGAGTTTTGATGGGCCCTTGCCAGAAGCCCTTTGCTTCCTGTCTCCCGTTGTAACCTTCTGGGCACAAATGCTTTTCTGCTGGTGAGCTTCCCCTTGCCCCATTTCTCTCTCTCTCTCTCTCTGTCCCCAACTGAAGCTCCGCGAGCACCTTGCAAAGGGCCAGCGCATGCTGGCAGGTGAGGGCATGTCGCAGGTGGTCCGTGGTCTGCTGGAGCTCGTGGCACGCAAGACGTACTACAGCGGAGACCTGCTTTTCTCCGTGGAGATCCTGCGCAACGTCACGGACACTTACAAGAGAGCTACCTACATCCCTTCTTCGGATGATGTGCAGGTAGCGTTGCTGTGCGGGAAAAGAGGGACTTGCAGGGCTCATGTCGGGGATGGAAAATTTCATTTTTTCCTACGCAACGGGCCACAGCGCTCTGTGGTTTGCCCACAGTGTACAGGGCCAAACTGGAAGGGGCTTGTTTCCATTTCAATGGGAGTGCTGAATCTTCTCCATCTGGAGGGCTGAACTCCATTAGAGGGGATGTGGCTAGATCAGAACCTTTGGGAGCTGGAAGGGGACCTTTGATCTGAGCTTCTGCATGCCTGCATTACAATACTATACAGGAAGTTCCCTACTATGAACCTTCAAGTTGCAAAATTTCAAAGATTAAAATTTTGAAGATTTGCATTCCCAACCACATCAGTTCTTTTTTCTTTTTAACTGTTAATTCTCCCCCCTCCCCTAAATGAAATCAAGCCATCTCTCTGAGAGAATTGGCTGCCTCTCCCCACTCAGAAAAATGTGCTGCGTTTCTTGGTATCTTGTGAAGATTGGAGAGTCTGGAGCAGTTTCTCCCTTTTGTGAAATGAGTTGGAGGCTGCTGTTTCTCCATGCAAAGCGAGTGGGCCTGGCTTAGCGGCACCAGTGCCGGCTTCCTTGTCTAAGCAGCTTTGCGGCCTCCAGAAACTCAGTTCCAAATGGGGAGGAGATGGCAGCGGTCAAAGAAAGCACCTTTCCACTCAGCTCCCAAATGGTCAAGACACAGGAAGCGAGGGGAGAATGTGGGTAGGAGAGAGATCACACCCACTTGACCCCCAGATTATTCTGATCATTCACATCCGATTCTTAAAGCCAGACTGCAACACTCTGGCTACTTAATGGTGTGTGTGGGGGGGTGTGTGCATGGGCTGCAATTATGAATTTGGGCAACTTCAAATATCGTTTGTCATCGAAGTACCAGGGCTGCCTCTTCCGAGGAACACTATGCGATGGTCCAAGGCTCCGCAGAAGGGCTGCTGTTTTTTGTTTCCGAGCTTTGCGACCTTCCCTCTGTTAGTTGGGTACCCTGGCTAACTTTGTTGAACATATGAACAAATTGGACCTACGAATGCGCTCTCGGAACAGAACCCGTTCATAGGTAGGGGACTGCCTGTACATTGTCTTGAACATGTTCAAAGGATTTCTAGGCAAAAGCCCAATTCTACCTAGAGATGTCTTAGAAAACCACAGTGGGCTCGAGTGATTCTGAATGGACTCATGTGAGTTTCCAAGAATCGGGGCCACGGACTTGCCAGCAGGCCACCTTTCCCCGTGTCATGCAGATTCTGCAGTCTTGTCGGCTTTGATCCCATACTCTAAAGCAGGGGTCCTCGAACTAAGGCCTGCGGGCTGGATCCGGCCCGCCATGCCCATTTAACCGCCCCGCCCCACAGGTTTTGCACTTGCTGGGCAACATGTGGGCGTGTGTGGGCATGTGGTTTGCTCACGAGGAGGTCATTTTGGACCTAATTGGAGAAAATAATCTCGCGAGCAAGCCAGTGCCTTGCCCCACGTGCGCCCCTGTCCCCACCTCGCCTCGCATGCGTGCACATGCGCCCCCCTGCCCACACCGCCTTGGCGGCCCGCACCCACCACCGGCACCTGTCAACTGGCCCCCTTTTGAAAAAGTTTGAGGACCCCTGGGCTAAAACATGAAATGTGCATTTGGGGCTGCAGGATTTGCACATTCTCGGGAATTTGTGAACTTTCTTAGCAATAGCTTTGTGAAAAGTGCAGTTCTGTTAATAAGAGGATGATGGAACAAAAGCTACGGGGCAATTTGCAAAACATGGATGGAATGAATTTTCCCAAGTCTGTACATTACCACCAGAAAAGCCAGTTTTAGTGAATTGCATAAATTAGGCACTATAGTTCTGCTTCTTTCGCCTTTCCCTTAGGAGGGACGGGTGCTACACATGATGGAAAAGTGTCACTCTAACGGGAGAGAACCCTACTCAGCTGCTCCCAGAGGCTCGAGATTTTAGGCTCTGCATGCTAAGGACTAGAAACATGCTTTAAAAATAAAAAGTCCTCTTCCTGCCCCCTTCTCCTAAAAGCTGAATTCTGAGAAAGGTTGTCAATGCAATTCAAGGCAAAAGGAAAGTGTTTCTGTACAGGAAAGTGTTAATAAGCCCATAAAGGCCCAGTGATGATGGAACAGTCTGTTCTGCTATCCAAGCAAGTCTAGTGGATTAAATTCAGATATGTGTAAGCAGACATGTGAATGGGGAGCTTTTATTTCAGCATGCCGGAAAAAGCATTAAATATAACCCAAAGCAAAAATGAATAAGAATGCTTTAATGGTTTTGCCTTAGAAGAGCTGTAAATTGGGGGCACATTTTTAATACATTGTTTGTTGCAACAGTTCAGAAATGTTTACAGATTTTAGGAGTGTTTTAAACATTAAGAATGTTTTGCAATGACTTTTCAATTACAGTCCCTGAGGAGGCAAAGTTCTTTTCAAAGCACACTGGGCATAATAAAGTTTTTCCAGGCACCTAGGAATATTTTCTCTTCTGTTCTGTGACAGTGCAACTCACTAACTGGAAAACACTGGAGTTTTTACAGAAACTCCTGGTACAAGAGAGGCCTCGAGAAGAAAACAAGCCAAAACATTTTGAATGACAGGCAACATTTCTCAAGGGGGATCCTGCACATTCCTCATGCTGAGTTGGATGGATGTGCATGCCTTCACAGACACTGCAGCGAAGGGTGGGCAACTGATGGTGCTTCAGAGGCCATCTTTGCTCTCCAGAATCCCCTCCTTGCAGGGGAGTCGGGGAAAAAGCCTGAAATGGACTTTGGGTGCTACGGAGGAGCTCTAGAGCCCCAAAAGGCTCAGACTGAACTTGGCATGCCACAGGTTCCTCTGGTCAAACATCCAGACTAGTTTCTCTGAAGGCAGGACGCGCTCCAACGGAGCAAAGCTCAGGGAGCCAAGGTTCCATTTGGATGCCAGGAAGCACTTCCTGACAGTCAGGACCCCGAGGGTGTGGAATGGGCTTCCACGGGAGGTGGTTGAGGCCCCACCGGTGAGGGTGTTCAAGGATAGGCTGGACGTCCACATGGTGGGCATGTCGTGAGCGGAGCCGGCTGGAGCCGGGGGTCAGACTAGATGGCCCGGGAGGCCCCTTCTGACTCGCTCTGTTTCTATGTTTCTCCACCACCCATGGATGCAGAGGTGCAGTGAGGGCCTGAGGCAGTCTCCCCAGCCCCAACACAGTGGGGGCTTTCCCAGCACCTGCCCCTGCACCTCAACCTCTTTTCTTCCCCCACAGCGGTTCTTCCAAGTCGTCAGCTACATGGTGGATGCCGAGAACAAGGAAAAGTGGGAGGATGCCCAGCAGGTGGGTTGACGGGTGTTGTCTGTGGGGCTGGCTGGTGGGGAACCAGCTGACGTCAACGCTTCCTCCATCCCCTTCTCGTGCTGCTCAGGTCTTGCCTGGCTCCGTCCTCCTCATGAAGGTGGTCGAGGATTTCATCCATCTGGTGGGGGAAGCTCTCAAGGCCTTCCAGACATCCCTTATTGTCACGGACAACTTGGGTGAGTGGGCAGAGAGCGGGTGCGGGGTGGGCCTTTGCCAGGTGGGTGGCGGGCTGGAAAGAAGGTGCCCAGGCAGGAGTACGGGCAGGTGTATGCCAAGGCCACGTCCGGGGGGAGTGTGTTTCCCGGCCCTCCCACCTGGGTGAGAACACAGGACTCAGACTGGGGTGCGACAGGCAGGAGGTATTTCTGCCGTGATGCTCAGGGCGTGGCTCCATTGGCATGTTTCTGCCCCCTTCCCATCCAAGAGCTTCGTGCTGCCCGCCCGCCCCAGACGCTGCTGTTAGGAGCCCCGATTGCAGGAGACGGCCATTATGATTTCCCCTGCAAGCTTACTTTTTAACATTTTGCGTTCTTTCCCTTTTATATCTGGAAAGCTTCCTATGCTTTATCTCGTGTGCACTTGTTAAAGTCTTACCAAAAGCACACCGAAAGGACAGTCCTGCACCCGCCCCAGCTTGCAGAGGGCCATGATGTACCTGCCTGCCATGTAGCCGTTAAAGGCAAAGAGTCCATCCAAAGGAAGAGCTGGCAACCTAATTCTAACATGGTGGAATACATAGATTCTAACACAGACATTTAAGAGCCAGGCACCGAAAGCCCTGAGCCTGGACTCTCCCACATTAGGATGTTTAGTTTTTATTTTTTTCTCCATGCCATTCATGAAGAAATTCGTGGCCTGGGGGAGGTATTTCTCATCAAAGCGCCTGGCTATCCCTGGCAGCAGTGGCTTGGTCCTTCAGCGTATCGTCCTGCACTTCATGGCGTCAGCCTAGAAATCGCTCATGTTGAGCAAGGAGTCCAAGGGGGCTTGGTCCACTCATATGCGCCCTCCGCTTCCCCCTTCTCTCCCCCACCCTTGGCAGTGATCAGCATCCAGAGAGAGCCGGTTTCCGCTGTCTCCAGTGACATCAACTTCCCCATGAAAGGCCGGCGGGGCATGAAGGACTGGGCCCGCCACTCCGAAGACAAGATCTTCATTCCGAAGGAAGTGCTCAGCCTTTCCTCTTCTGGTGTGTGGGCTGCACTCGCTGGGCTGGCTGCTTGGGGGGTGGGTGGGAGGAAGGAGCCCAGCGCACTGCAGTGAGAGCATCCATCGCATTGTACATTTGCATTCGGAGAAGGACAGGAAGCAAGCGCCCGACGCTGTCGCTTTGTGGAGCCGGGCAGGAGCGGACACGGTCGGGGCTGAACGAGAGTGGCTCCATGAGAGCCAGGCCCTCTGAGGGAGCGCAGGGCAGATGAGCAGAGCAGGAAAATGGTCTGCCTAAGAAAAGACAGGAGAGGAGCATAAAAGGGAAGCAACTGCCCTGACATGGTTTCCAAACTCTTCTTATTTTAGACATTCATAAGATCGGGCCTGGAGGTTTCAGGTTCCCCTTCTATTTCAGAACTCAAACCCATTTTCCCGAATCCCACATCAAAATGTGAGGATGAGGAAATTGATTTGTTTGCTTGGAAGGCATTTCGTATTGCGCGCTGACCTGTGTGTGCACACAGGCATGCAGCTGATTGTGCAAGCAGTGTGAGCTGTGACGTTTGCACTCGCAGACCCTATATGCATGATGCAGCTGGGGGAATGTGGCTGGGCAATGGCCTGCACTCATGGTTTGGAGGCCTTTGCTCTCGTCTTGCCTGTGCATCAAAACAGGTGCCTCCTGGCTGGCTTCTTCGGCTGATCCGGTTGCTTTTAGAAACATAGACACATAGAAACAGAGCGAGCCAGAAGGGGCCTCCCGGGCCATCTAGTCTGACCCCCGGCTCCAGTCGGCTCCGCTCATGACATGCCCACCATGTGCATGTCATGGCGCGCCATCCCATACTGAGGACTTGTCCTGTTACTGTGGAGCGAAGAGTTTTCCCTCCATGCCGTGTTGGGTCACTCTCCTGATTCTTTGTTAAGGAAGTGGGTGGCTTATGCATGCCGGCCACTGCCAGTGAAGCACGCTTCTGCCCCTTAGGATTCCTCCCACGGGACTGGTTTGGATCGCCAAATTTGCTTTGGCCTGCTTCGGGCACGTTTGGTGCCCCCACGCACAGCCCTTTGGCTCCCACGTTGCTCCTTCCTCACGCAAGCCGCCAAACGAGCCAGGTTAACCAGCGCTCCCCGTGACTTGCGGATGAGGAGCCGCGGTGATGGCAGAGGCAGTGCAGAGGAGTGGCCGGCTGGGGCTGGGCTTGCATCCTCCATCTGGAGTCCCAGGTCCCCGGGAGGCCATCTGCGCCACCCTGGCCCTGGCTGGAATACTGGTGCGAAGGCCCTGGTGATCTCCAGGCACATTTGCTCACATGTGCTTCCTCCCCCTGATCCCTTCTGCCTGGAGTTTTCTTTCTGACATGCTTTAACCCTTCTCTTCCCTCTCCATGCATCCCCTTTTACAAATAGGACTGCCACTATGAGATGGGGTCCGGAAAGACACAGACACACATGCGTGCACACAGACTGCAGAACTTATGTTAATTGATTAGCATATGCAAATGTGCGCTTTTGGCTCCCCCATGGGCCTCAGCCCTGGGTCTTTCTGGAGCCCAGCACTGTGCTTAGGCTCCTGGTTTCCAGGCAAGCCAGAAGGTGGAGGCTGGGCTGCTGAATGCTCACTTGAGGAATGTGTCTGTCGCTGCCCTCACTGTGGGGGCCTGTTGCTGCCAACAAGAAGAAGGGCCTTTTCAGTGGCGGCCCCCCAGTTGGGGAGCAGTCTCCCCGCTGAGGCCCACCTGGCACCAACCCTAATAGTTTTTTGGTGTCAGGTTAAGACTGTCTTCCATTGCAGGGCAATTCACCAGGCGCCGTTATATTGGGGCTTTGCCAGCTGCTGAACAGGCCGGTCTTTGAGCCTGGCTACTGCGCATCCTTTCGTATGTGTTCTAAGCCTGGTTTCAAATTTCGTATGGCAAGCTTTCAACGGCGTTTCTGTTGCTGTGTCTGTTTTATATTATTTTATGTACTGCAAACTGCTGAGAGGGCTTTGCTATTGGGCAGTCCAGAAATCAAATGCATATATAACCACATTTTCCAGCAGCCCGCCCAGGTCCGGCTGAGAACCCTTCTTCCTTCTGCCAAGGCAGGGGTGGAGGGAGGCGCACGAGACACTGGTCACCCCACCTGGCGGGTGAAGAAGCGGCCTGGGAGCCAAACCGTGCACTGGCATCTTCCCCAGCCAGCCTCCGAGAAGAGGCACCCTGCTGGCCGGAGCGGCTGGGTCCATGCACGGAGCACTGCCATAACCAGGGCTGTTCTTTCCTCAGAAACAGACGACTCGTCCTATTTTGTCATTGGCGCCATCTTGTACCGCACGTTGGGACTCATCCTGCCTCCTCCTAGGTGAGTGCCTGGCCACGGAGAAAAGGGCCAGCAATAGCCGCTGGCCACAATGGCCCTCCAGTGCCTGCAGGATCGGGGCTGTGTGCTGAGAATTGCAGAGGGAAGGACACTGTCACCCGGCTTGGGGCGGCTCCCTGGGGTGTCTGTTGGGCCAAGCGGGAACAGCTTTGCTCCGATCCAGCACGGAGCATCCCGTGTCCTTGCATGGTGGCACATGGAAGAAATGTGTCCGTGGGTCGGCACAGGCTGTTCTCAGAGCAAAGGCACGAGAGCGCCTCTGGGTGCCTTTGCATTCTACGTGCATCCACTGGATGGTAAAGCCGGCAGGTTCTGCACTGTGAGCGCGGGTGGTGGGCAAGTGCAAGCGCACACGCTGCCCCTGGGCATCTGGAGTCCGGACCCGAGAGCCTCAACCTGGGGCCGGTGCCCCGCCTCGGAGGCTTTTGGACCTAAGGCGTACTGAGGTCTCAGGGCTGTTTGCAAGCACAGAGGGGGCCCTGGCCCTGCACTCTTAATCCCTGTGAGGGGCAGCAGAACACAGACCCTGGACTGGCCGGGTTTGGAGCAGATCCTGAGACAAGGCCTTCCCCTCTCGCCTGGGCAGTGGGGTCTGCTGTGCACCATGGGGCTTTCCGGTTGCACATTTGGAGACCCTGACCTGAAGAGTGCTCTTCACACCTCGAGCTGCGTGTTAATATCTGTGCCATCAGGCAAAACATGAGTGAAGGGTGATGCTTCCCTTTTGTGTACGCACACAGTCGTGTAGTTTCCCCGACTTGTTTCCGTCTCCATCCTTTTCTAGTGCAGCATAATTTGTAGAATGAACACAACAAGCTTCCCAGTATATAAGGGAAAGGCCAATGTGAAAGCCCCACAAATAGGCTAACAGGTGCAGGACCTCAAGCCATCCAGCCATCAAGAGTGCTCAGGCTGCAGCCCAGCACCTCCTGCTCGGAGATAAACCCTGCTGCAGTGAAGCATAGGACTGCGTGGCCGGAGCGTTCCTCGAAGATGCTTAGACTTTGACTAGGGAGACGCTCCTGGGCAGACGTTATTTTGGGGCCAGTCCCCAGGGGGCTTCTGCTTATGCCTTTCCGTGCACCTTCCGGCGGCCTGCCATGGCTCCCAGTGCCGGTGGCTCCCACGGTCTCCCTTGCACCCTGCAGCCTGCATTACTGGGGAGGTCGGTGAGGTCGATGCAAAGGTCCAGTGGCTTCCCTCCGCCCCTTCACGAATCGTTCGGCAGTGGACCCCTGTGCCACGGTTGTGCAGGGGAGCCACGCACTTTCCTGTCCCTCCACAGGAGTCCCCTGGCTGTCATGTCCAAGGTTCTCACGGTGACAGTGAAGCCACCAACCAAGGCTGTGGAACCCTTGATTATAGTGGAGTTGTCCCACATCATCAATGTAAGTGCATAAAGGGCCCCCCATTAGTGAAGGCCGGGTGTTAAATGGGCGGAGACAGTTGCCTTCCAATCTCTCAGGTTTGCTTGAAAACTCCTTACATGCAAATCCTGTCTGGGTCTCTTTTCCCCGCCCCTGATCTGCTGATATTCTCCTGTGCTGCAAAATGACCAGGTTGAGACCATGGAACAGGGTAGCAAGAATGGAGCAAAACAGGTCTGTGCAAATCTCTGTCAGCCCAGGTTTCGAAATGAAATGCGGATCTTTCTTGAATCCCAAGAGAGTGTGAATTTGCATAAAACCATGCCAGATGGAAAGGGGGGGGGGTTGCTTTTTTCCTCTTCCCTTTTGTTTACTTTGTGGAAAGGGGGTTAGCTTGTGTGGTCTAAGTGATGAAAACAAGCACAGACACCATGGAACAAGAACAGCTGTAAGAAAAGCTGCACTAAAAGAAAAAGAGCAGCATGGACTGATAGTTATTTTCATCACAATCGAAAGGGGTTGCTTTTAAATCAAGGGGCATTTTTCCTATTTACTTTGCAAATACCCTGCACTGACAGAAAGACAAACAAGTGAGTCTTAAATCAAATCAAGCCAGAACTTCCCCTGAAGCAGAGATGACAAAACCGAGGCTGTCCTATTTCGGGCACATCATGAGAAGGCAAGACTCACTGGAGAAGGCAATCATGTCAGGGAAAGTCAAAGGGAAGTTGGAGGGGAAGGCCAGCTATGAGATGGATCAAGTTCCATCGAAGAAGCTGCACCCTTGGCTTTGCAAGAATTGAGCAGGGCTGTCAAGGGCTGGTCATGTTGGAGGCACACATTCACAGGGTTGCCATAAGTTGGAGATGATTTAACTTTTGCCTAGCACAATTTAAGAAGGTGCAAGAATTCTCCCTGGATAAAGAGGAAAGATTAGAATTACCATTTATTATGTAGCACATTTTTACCCCACCCTTCAGCAATGCTCTAAGTGTGGATGCCAGTAAACTTTAAATAATATACCCTGGATTTATGGGTATCTGTTGGTGACATACAGGTATGTGAGGGGGTGTCACACGGAGGTGGGTAGAGACCTGTTCTCCCCTGCAGAGGAGGGCAGGACGCGCTCCAACAGAGCCAAGCTCAGGGAGCCAAGGTTCAATTTGGAAGCCAGGAAGCGCTTCCTGACAGTTAGGATCCCGAGGGTGTGGAATGGGCTTCCACGAGAGGTCGTTGAGGCCCCATCGTTGCGGGTGTTCAAGGATAGGCTGGACGTCCACATGGTGGGCATGTCGTGAGCGGAGCCGGCTGGAGCCAGGGGTCACACTAGATGGCCCGGGAGGCCCCTTCTGACTTGCTCTGTTTCCATGTTTCTATGTATCTCTGCAAGCTATGCAGCTTTTCCTTTTTGTGCAGGAAATCACACTTCCCCGAAGTAGGAAATGAAATTAAAAAAAAAAGTTATTGGGCACCCCGAACCCACTGAACCCGAGTAATGGCTCTTCTTCTCTGCCTCTCCTCCAGGGCACCTCTCACCCACAGTGTGTCACGTGGGAATACACCAAAGTGTGAGTACCTTTTGCCTTGTAAAAGCGCAGTCTGTGGAAGGGCATGAAAACCGGTGGTGGGCACAGGCACCCGGCCGATGGGGTGGGGAGGTTCCGAGTGCATGTGAATAGAACTGAGGTGGGACAAGTGGGTGGATCATTGAAATGGGTCCTTCCAGTCTTTCAAGCTACAGATTTCAAGGAAATCTTGCACAGATCGAATGAGTTCATACCTCTAAGAATCTGACCTGCAGTGAGGTAGCTTTTTCCAAGTCACTTGGATTCAGTTGATTTGCAAGCTGTTTTTGTTTGTTTGTTTTGCTTTAATTCTTCATAATTTAATGCAAACTTAATCAGGCAAGTGCAATGATATGTATTTTCAAGGATCAGTGGGTTTCTGAGAATTTGCACAACTGTAAGCAGACAAGGGAACAAAAGCTACCTGACACTCCATGAAGTGTAGCTGAAATGGCTTTTGCACTGTCCACACACCCCTCCTCCAAGCTCTCGGGTTTTAGTCTTGCCTGCTGTGCTTCACTGTCCAGTCCTGCCCCCCTCCTGGGGATTGGAAAGCCCCTCAGGCCAGAAGGGGAGCACCTAGCAGAGAAGCTTTATGGGAACCGGAAGGTGGTGGGCACACTGACTCCAAGCACAGAACTGCCGCTCAAGGAAGCCAGACGTGGCTGGTGGCGTTCCTACAATTTAGACAGCATCTTGTGCTCAGACAGGCCTGGTGGGGGCTCTAGTTCAGCTCAGACTTCCAGCATGGCTTTTCTATGACTGTTGCTGATGGAAATGCTTCTTCCAAAGCCTTCTTCCAGGTGTTCGATTGGAACTGGTGTTGCATTTTTGGGATTGGTTATGTGGCTCTTGGGTGGAGAAAGACGGGTGAATGGGAGATTGTATTGTGGTACTGGTGTGTGTGTGTGTGAGAGAGAGAGAGAGAGAGAGAATGAGAGAGAGAGAGAATGGATACTGTGATGAAGTTTCATTTTCTGCATGAGTCAGCTCCCTTTGGCTCTCTACTGCTCCTCTGAAGGCATTTCCGGCTGTAAAGTTGCACTTTCTTCACTTCAGATCTCATAGTAAATGCTGCTGTCTGCTATTGGCATTTGGTTCTGGATGAGGTCTTTCTGGGTTGCCAAGACCCAGCTAGTTGGTGCATCTCTGTCCGTGTTTGCCCAGATGGGTCTTGTGGGCTCGCCGGAAGGTTGCCCCAGGGTGGGGAACATCTGCACTCTGGCTGCTTGGGGAGTGTGGAACGGCTGCTGGGCAGCTGCCTTGGCCGAGGTGGAAGGTGTGTGCCTGCCGCTGCTGGCAGGGAGTCGTTTAGGGATTCCGTCGGTGTGCATCCTTTGTGCGGCCTATAGAACTGCCTGGTGGGCCCATCTTGGAGATGGTGTCTCTGCACCATCCTCTGCTGATTTATGGTCTTCACAGGGTGACCTTGGTCAAATTGCAGCCTCGTCTCTAAAACGGGAATGGCACAATCTTTCACCGCAAAGAGTTGTACTTTGATGGAATAACTTAAAATCAAATGGTCCTACCTACTCTGAATGATGAAACGGCTTAGAAGAGGAAGGGTGCCTAAGCGAGTGTGTATATTTTGATGAATTAATCGACCTGCTGACTTGTAGAGACTCGGGTTCATTTGGCACAGAAGGCCCTCCGTTTTGCTCGTTTGCACCTTACACACACACACACACACACACACACACAGAGAGAGATGAGACTCACCTCACGGATCTTTCTGTAGGATGCATATTCCCTTCGCTCTGATCTATGCAGTTCTTGTGCACGTGGACCAGCTCTTCCCCTGTTCCGTGCCCTTCTCTCCAATGCTGCAGAGCCTTGACGCTGGTGCTTTTTGAAATGTGATCTCTCCAGGGCTACAGGGTCCGGGTCTTCCGCGAGGCAGCAGAAGGCAAGGACTGCAGCCCTGGCCTCGGCCCCCGCAGAGCTCCCCGGCCCCAGCAGGAGAGCTGTCCGCTCTGCCAGTGCTGAAGCCCCCTTCCTTCCGGCTGGCATTGCACTGCAAGAGCAGGGGTCACGATGCATGGAAAGGGCATGCAAGAATACCTCTTCTCAGTCTCCACCTGCCCCGCCGAGAGGCTCCCTGAATGAGGCCAATCTCCCCTCACCCACCGTGGGTTCACTCGGTTAATAATGGCTATTGATTATGGATGCCTCCTGCCTGCCAGATGGAATTCGTTAGCAATGGGCTAGGAGGGAGGAGAGAGTAGAGGATAGAACAGGGCAGATGCCCTCACGAGAGAGAGCGAGAGAGAGCGCGAAGCTGGCACTCGTGCTGCTCCTCGGACGTGTCTCGCGGGAGCCCTTGGACTTTCACGTGGAGGAACGTGCAACTCGGGCCTGGTCGGGCATTCACCCTGCTGCACCCGTGGCCAGAGAGGTGAGCATTTGAGGTCAGGCAGGGGCCCGGAGACACAGCATTGTGTGGCTGTCTCCATGAAGAGGACGGCGTGTGCAACCTGGCGCCTAGATAAGGCAGCCCGGCTCATTTCCTCCCCCTCCCCCCTTCCTGCGCGCTTGCTTGCTTGCTGGCTGGCTGGCTGGCTGGCTGGCTGGCTGGCTGGCTGGCTGGCTGGCTTTCTTTCTTTCTTTCTTTCTTTCTTTCTTTCTTTCTTTCTTTCTTTCTTTCTTTCTTTCTATTCGCTTCTGACCCCACCCCATTAGCCAGAGGGTCCCTGTCATGCTGCTTGCTTGCCTGCTTCCCGCCTCCTTTGCAGCAGGGCAGAGAGTCTCCGCCCATTATGCCGTCTGGCTCAGCAGTGTGCACTCCAGCCATCCCCAACTGATTGAACTGCAGACGCATTGGAGTACAAGTTCCATCATCCCTCGTGGGGGATGATGGGAACTGTGATCCACATGGAAGGCACCAGGTTGAGGAAGGCAGGCCCGTTCTGCTGGGTGGGTGAGCTTCCGTTGCTTCACAAAGGAGCCGGGTCTTTTGAGCTCTACCCGGACATGCTAAGAACCTTCCCCTGCTTGTCTACTGAGCTACGGATTTCTTGCATCAAGTCTATTCCCGGAACCTTCCTCCCTGGCTATTAGAATTGCATGGGAATGCTGCCCTTGCTCAGAAAACATGCAAGCGCTTTTGGAAGCACTGAGCCAAAGCATCTGCCAGCCACAACTGCCCACAATTCGCAGGCACAATTCGCTGCCATTCATCTCGTCCTGGATTTCTGCTGTGATCTGTGCAGGCTTCCTAATTCAGGCAAATTCCTTCAGGAGACTGAATCAACCCCACACAAGTCTGTGGAGGAAATTGCACAAATTTCAGGAGATCTGCAGAAATCCCCCTGCGATTGCTGCCCAATTTGTGCAGGTTTCTCATTCGCCCAAAGCAATGAGAAGGCATCCGCAGCCTCCCAGCATTCTTGGACATTACTTGCTGGCATCCTCACTAGTTATAGTTGCAAAGGAGAAATGTGGGGGCCAGGAGGGGGGATATTTTTCTCTAGAAATGCATGAAATCCTTTATTCATTTTGGCTTGGAAATAATCAAGGCATCTTTAAAAACAAGCAAGCAATGGGAATAATCCAGCTCACTTCTGGCCAATCCAGCTTCACTAGCACCATGCCCATGAGCCCACAGTACCGTCTGTTCCACCTGTGCTCATCCCCAAATGTCACCCTCTCTTTCCCGTTAAATACTTACTTCGTCCTTGTTGCCAAGTGCCCCTACTTGTCCATCGCTGTTCGGCAAAAACTTTTTGTTGTCTTCCCTTTACTAATAATAAGCAATGGGCTTTTCCATGAATCCCTTCCTTTCTCCAAGTCTGTTCCATTCTAGCTCCATGAAGATGTTGTTGGTTATTTCAAGGATATATCTTTTTGTCTGCTCTTTCCACATCTCATGCATTTTAATGCAACCAATGGTTGATTAAAGCACATTTTATGCATTTTTGAGAATTGCACATTTTTCTTCATGTACTTTTGAAATGTGCACATTTTTTTAATGTAGTTTTCCTGTTGCACAAAATGCCTTGAAGATCTGGAAATGTAGGAATTTCTAGATTCAAATTGTTTTATTTATTTATTTATTTATTTTTCGATTTATATCCTGTCTTTTTCCTACAAAGGGCTCAAGGCAGCTTACATCTCCTCCTCCATCTTATCCCCACAACAACAACCCTGTGAGGTAGGCTGGGCTGAGAGTCTGTGACTGGCCCAAAGTCACCCAGTTGGCTCCATGGCTGAGCGGAGACTCGAACCCAGATCGTCTGTGTCCCAGTCCCAGGCTCTTCACCACTGCACCACCCTGGCATACTGTTTCCACTCCATTTCTGGCTGGTGCCCTACAGAGAAATCTACCGAATCTCATTCATCCCTATTAATAAAAGGGCCCCTCTTACAAGTAACTAGTAGGCTAGTAAAAACGTCTGCAGGCTAGATAAATGGCAGGCTGGCCAAGGGGAAACAGCGTTCTGCTTCTCTTTGGCCAGTTCACTGTTGGCCATACCGCCGGGGTCCCCGGACTAGGGCCCGCGGGCAGATCCGGCCCGCCATGCCCGTTTATCCAGCCCGCACCGCCACCCGTTGCCTGCTGCCCACGTGGGCGGGCGGGCAGGCGGGAGGCGGTGACTTGCTTGCTCAGAGATGCTTTTGGACTTGCTGGAAGACCTCCGAGCAAGCGAGCCGCCGCCCCGCATGCCCAACGCCGCCTCGCACGCACCCGAAGTCACCTCACTGGCCCATGCGCCCAGCCCCCCGCTGGTCACTGCCGCCTTTCAACTGGCCCCCTATGGAAAATGTTTGAGAACCGCTGCCATAGAGGAAGGGAGCTCACGTCCTCGCAGCCACTCCTTCGTACTTTTCAAAATGGCTAAACTAGACAGACGCTGGATAGGAAGCAGCCATGTCATGGACTTGATCGACTGCTTCGCTTAGAGTGGTGGGCAGTGAGCTGTGGGACGCAAGTAGGTGGGAGCTGTGGAAGACATAAATATGTCCTGCCGCTTTTCTTAATGAGAGCCATTTCTCTTTTGTATTAGCACAGGACCCTTACCTTACCTATTAGTTCTCACGGAGCGAGAGATTATTTATCCATGCGCGGAGCAGGTGTCTAGTTTCTACACTGTGGGTTTGCTGCTGGCCTTCTCCTCCAAAAGAACCCCCATATTGGTGCCTTTGGGTTCCTTAGTCGCTTTAAGCCAAGCTGCATCAGCACGATTGTGAGTTTCCAAGGAACTGGTTGCATATTCTCTCGGCACTGAAGTCGTCTTCTGCAAAGGATGGATTTGCTCCTGCAGCAAGAACGCTTTAAAACGACTTGGATTTCGAGCAGTGTTACGTGCAAGGCAATAAAGGCAATATCACTCCCTTTCTTTGAAGTGAGGCCTCCCTCTGCCCTGAAGCACATGGGCAAGAAGGGGGCTTCCCCAGTGCCGCTCGGCCGCTGCTGACCAGTGAATGGCACTCGGGGCGGTGGGCAAGCCTGCTGCAGAACCGTTATCACCAGAAGGCGTATCCAGCACTGCCTGTGTGGCTTTGCGTGCTTGCTTGCTTTAATGTGGGCCATGATAACCTAGGTGATGAACAGATGCTGGCATGGCTTAAGTCAGGAAATCAGATTTTCTGTCTCAGCCAATCTGTGAGAACCATGGGCAGAAGTTGTGCCTTGGAAAGGTTGCCTTCCTCCTTCAGGTGTTTTAGACTGCAGCTTCCATCAGCCCCAGCCAGCATGGACCATAGTCAGTCATGCTGGGAGCTGTAGTCCAAAACACCTAGAAGAAGATAGCAGGTTAGAGAAGCCAGCCTTGCGTTTTGCTTTCAAAGAAGAGGAGGTGTTTCCATGGAGAAGGTGGCCATCTTCCCCAATGCAAGGGATGTCTAGGTCAGCCTTCCCGTCTCTGGTACTTGCATGCATGCCGGTCCGCACTCCCAGCACGCCATCTCTTGCCCAATTGATATGGAGGCCCTCAAGTGGGGAAGCCTGGCCTAGAGAATAAGAAATGCACCTGCTGTCCAGATGTAATCAGAATGAGGGTCTAGCAAATGAGAATCGGCACCACGCACATTCAGCCAAGTTGAGTGAGAGGTTTTCTCCCAGTGTTTATCATCCCGTTTCACCCTCAGAGCATCTGTGCCCGCCCACCCCGATAAAAAGCATTTGATGAATTGCTCCTGGTTTTGCTTGGGACTGAAATGTCCCGGCTCTGTTCACTGGGTGTGTTCTTGCATGCCTGCTAGTATTGCTGCTCAGCTTAACTACAGAATAATCAAAGAGTTGAAAGTTTCTGGCTTAAAGGTAGCAGCACAGCTCCAGTAAATATGCCTTCAGAGCTGCCTGTCTGCTAGGGCTGTTCCAAGCAACAGGAAGGCCGCAGGTGCGTCTGTGGGCCGAAAGCTCTTTGGCAGGGCACTTCCTTGTGCTTTGCAGACTCCCTTTTGCCTACTCTGGGCAGAGCTAAGCACAAACTGGGAGCAATGAGGTTCCATCCGGTCCCCACCTTCTACATTGCTGTCTGGTTTTAAAAATGCAGTGCGAGGCCTGCTAGGTCCTGGAAAGGTCCATCTAGTCCAGCTTCCTCCTTCCCATGGTGGTCAGCCAGATGTGCCAAGGCAGGCATGACCAGGTCTTGATGACAAGAACACTCTCCTTCTGCCACAGAGACTGCAGCAGAGCTGTGCTACCTGGAGTTGTCTAAGCCCCCTGTACAGGCACCTGAGCCTGTGACTGCCACCACATCCTCCTGTCCCCCGGCGTCCTGGCAGAGCTAGGCAGGTTTTGGTCCCACCTCTCAATCCTATACCTGATCGTGCGTCCTGAGTAGTTCTTGGCCAGTGGTGTTCCGGGAGCGAGGGAGACATTGCTGAATGGCAGCTCCCAAGCAGAGACTAGCAGCTTCCATGGCAGGGGGTGGTTTTAGCCTGAATGTTAAAAGCGCTTTCTGCGATGCTGAACCCTACCCATCATCCCCAAAGTAGACTCTGTCCCAGTGGCAGTCATGCCAGCAGCCTCCCTCCCAACCTTGCTCACCCTTAAACCAGCAATGCTGACTTCTAGGCTGAGCCCGGTTCCAGCCACCTGGGGTCCCACATCTGTCCCCATCCCTCCAAGAGGCCCCTCCACACCCATTTTCCTTGGCCCTGCCCTTTTACCCCCCCAGCGATGATTTGGTGATTTCCCGGCTTTTCCTGGTTTTGGCAGTAAGAGCATTAAACTCAGCTTAAACATGGCCCCGCCCTTTTGCCCTGATGGCAAACGTCTTCAAAGAGGAATCCCATGAAGAAGAGTCTGCAATATTAGAAAGCAAAGGGAAAGCTCCCATGAAAGTGCTTGCAAAGAATAAATCTGCCTCAAGTAGATCGGATACCAATAAAACCATTCCAAGCCGCAGGAAATGGATCAGACTATTCCAGGTCCTCCATTTCACCCTTGCAACAGCCCTATGAGGCAGGTTGGGCTGAGAGCTGGTCGCCAGCCCAGAGTCCTCCAGCGAGCTCCCTGGCTGGGCGGGGGCTAGAACCCCAACCTCCCCAGCCCAGCCCTCTGCGCTGCCCCACACTGCTCTCCCAAATGAGGCTCCGCATTGCTTGGCTGTCGAGCACATGCAGTCCTCCCATTGCTGCTGCTTGGCGGCTTTACCACCAGGAGCCCCCTCCCTTTCTCTTTATTTATTTATTGTGTAAAAATCTTTAAATCGCAAGGTGTCGTGTCAGAAGATGCAAGCGCTTAGTTCAGCTCCAGATAAGCCGTGCCACATGAATGGGGCTGTGCACACACCAAGATGTGCAAGCGCATAATGTGCGTGTGCAGGAAAGTGCTTGTGTGCTGATCACCCCTGCAAGGTTGCAGCACCTACTTTTCCACGCTTTTCAGATCAAAACGAGGTGGAGTGCCTTCACCCTGGAAACCGCGACCATGGGCTCCATTATGTTCGATAGTCACATCAGTGCTTTTCTTTTTTTCTTTTCGGTAAAGTGGCATTTTTGGTAGGGAGTGTCAGGGCGTGTCCCGTCGGCACGTACTGGGAGCCTCTGCGCTGGAGGCCAGGCCCTCTCCAAGAAGCCTCCGGGGCTGCTTGAGCTCGGGCCCCCTTTGCTCCCGCTCAGTGCTCCGATCACACCGTTTACGGCCATGAGCTCTGCCGCCGGGAAGCCTCTGGGAACGCTCGGGCGCCTGTGGAGCAGGCAGGCCGGTCGGGAGCTGGCTCTGCCCCGGGGACTCCCGCCTGGCCCTCTCCCGTCCCGGTCCGCGTGCCCAGCTGGAGTCCCTGCTGGCGTCGGCCTTCCCATCCAATCAGTGCCGGCTGCACAGCGACCCGCGGCCCCCTGCTGATGTTCCCCACGGGGAGATGAGTCGGTGAGCCACGCGGGCTAGGCCAGAAGCAGAGGGGGCTGGGTTGCGCTCTCCGGCGGAGCGTGGGGAGGGGGCAGACGCTTCGGCCCGGCAAGTGGGTCAGACGATAGCGCAAGCGCTCAGACGGCGCCCGGCGCGCGCACAGGCGGCCCTCCTCGCCGATCCGCCCGCAAGGGGTTAAGGCAGCGGTGAGCCGCAGGGATGGGGCTGTGCGAGCGGCGCGTTTGATCAGTCCTCTCCCTCTCCCCTTCTCCTTTGCGTTCCATCCATCAGGGAGGTTGGCGCTGGGAACTGGGACACGGAAAGCTGCCAGACCGTGGAAACCCTGTCGGCTCACACCAAGTGTCAGTGCAGCCAGCTGTCCACCTTCGCCGTGATTGCCCAGCTGCCCAAAGACCTGGTAAGTGTGGCTGAACGAGAGCGGGGAAGGGGGGCAGCCGGCCGTTCGCTGCCACCTTGGGAGGCCACCCGGCCATGGGATGGGGTGAGGGGGCAGAGTTTGGGTGCCACAAGTTGGCAGAGTGGGGGACGGCACAGGGCTCTCTTCCGGAGAGCCAGAGGGCCCGCCCCAAAGGATGTGTCCTGTGACCACTCCGTGCAGACAAACAAGAGCAGCTCAGACTTCAGGGGGCTCACGCAATAGATGCTCCCTCAGCACCTGGCCGGCAAGAGAGGCAGGCGCCATTTGGAGTTTTCCTCCCCAGGTAGCCAGACACCTGCTCTGCGTTCTGCGTGGGTGGGGAGCGGGACAAGACTGGCAGTCTTGAGGGAGAAACTTTTCTTGGCAAAAAGTTTGGGCCTCTTACAGGATCAGGCATCTGCCCCCCAAACACACAAGAGTTTGGGAGGGCTCATTCCAGCCAAACAGAAGTGCTTGTGGGCGCACACTTCATTCATATCTCTGCACCTTTGCCACACGCCGCCTGTGAGTGCCCCCGTCCACCACCCCCTTGCCTTTTAAGAGCTGGAATGGGCTCTGCGGGGCCTGTTCTGAATGCGCTTGGGGGCCTTGGCATGCCCAGCCTCCCAGCTTCAGTCCCTGATCTGTGATTTGCTGATTGTAATTATGGGCTACCATACAGTGTTGTTGGAAGGGTTGCTGAGCATGTATTATGTGGAGCACTTTGTACACTCCAGAGGACTAATATTACTAAATATTTATTAGTATTGTGAAGTGTTGTATCAGTAGCCGTAGCACTGGGAGACTCATTTCTTAGAGGGCAGGACGCATCTTCCAGTCACTTTTACTTGTCCTGTTTCCTCGATGATCTGTAATTTTCCCAAATGCAAAGAATCGTGTCAAATACATATTTGACTACACTTCCTCTCAAAATTAACACATTTTCTCTCAAATGATGCCTTCTTCAATGGCATTTGGATAGATCTTTTTGAGCCAGTAGAATATTCCAGAATTTTGGAAACTAACGAATAACTCAGTCCAAACTGTATATCAGCCCAAGAAGTCAGAATTCACAAAGATCCAAACTCCTGGGGCATCCTAGTTTATTCATAGGCCTTTCCCCCTTCCAGTCACTTTTTATAGATAGGCAAACAAAGGAGAGCCTTCTTTTTGCACACAACCTCTGTTTTTCAGTTCACTTTTCCCTGCACTGCTCTCATCTGCACGCTTTAGAAAATGTTCTCTGGGCAAGCGTAGCTGCGGAAGTTGTGCAGGGCAGAATTAAATTGGTACGAGGCGGTGGGAAGCAGGGGTTCCACCAGGGTTCCATGCACACAGGCACATCCACGCATGCTCGTCCCCGGCCCTGGGGCGGTGCTCCTACAGGGCGGGCTGCGAGCCGAGTCCTGTCCCGTACGCCTGCGGGAAGACACATCCCCTTGACCGCTGGCGGCCTTCAGAAGGGAAGCTGCTGTCAGGGCAGGGCAACTGCCCCCCCCCCGCCTGTCTGCATCCCCTGCGCTCACCGCTTCTTCCACCCACCGCATTGTAGCTGCCGTCAGCGTTCACTGAGCTGGTGCTTCCCTGAGCGTTTTGAGCCGTGTGCTTCCTGTCCCCGTCCTGCAGCACTGGCCGGGAGGGCTCCCCCCCCCCCCCGGGTCTTGGGCCCCCACAGGCAGGGCAGCAAATGCGGGGAGCCATGCTGGCCGGAGCTGCAGCCACTTCACGTCAGCGTTGGCCACTGAGCTGCCCTGCAGGGCCCCCCGCCGCCTCAGCTCCTGCCGGGGGTGCCGAGAATGCAGCGGGCTGTGGAAGTGCGGAAAGATGGTGCCCCGTAAGGAGCTTTGCTCGGAGGACTTCGGTGTCCCCCCGCCCACCCATGAACATGCACACAGGTGGATGCAGAATGGCAAATCACACAGCAGCTTGTGCTTCCATGGCAAGCTCGGGGGTGGGGAGCCCAGGGGCCCTCCTTCAAGGCCTTCTGCTGCCATGAAGGGGTTCTTCTCCTCTGCCCAGAGTGCCCAAAATCCTGCATTTTTAGCCGCTGCTCCTCCCATGTGCCCCTTTCCAACTGCCATGTTCACGGTGTTTGGGCCAAACCTCCCCATTGAACTGAGGAGAGTGGAAACAGCAGTCCAAAACAATGAGATAATGGCTTTTAAAGCATGCTTCTGTACATGTGCAGAGTGCAAACAAACTTTTCATCGTTAGTGAGACTCCCTTGTGCGCAGGAAAGATTTCTGGGGTACAGTGTGTAGCATTCAGAAACACTCGATACCCACTTAAGCAGTCTGAAACAGCGATTGTGTCTCCCACCCCGCCAGGATCGGCTCCCTTCCCCACTCTCTGTGCTGACTTCCTCTGCTCCCTCCTCCCTCTGCTCCTTCCATTGTTTCCTGCCTCCTCCTCTCTGTCTCAGGCTCTTGCTGGACTCTTCCCTTTTCCAAACAGCATGGAAAATGTAGATGTACCCCCGTGGCGTTTCTCGCCCCCCACACTCACAGCCAAGGCTGCTGGTGTCCATCAGGGTTATGAACAAGCCTTCGAGGCCTGTACAGGTTCCAAGTTGGGGTGCAGAATCTGGGCCAGAAGCAAGAGGGCATCCATCTTGGGGGCGTGCTTGGGAACCCCGTCTTGCTGCTGCTGCCACGGCTGCTTCTGGCTGCAAGAGTGACGGGCAGGGAGATGCTCTGTCCGTGTTCTGGCCCACAGCCGCTCGGCCTCGTTCATGCTTCCTTGGCCAGACAAGGTCATTGGTATTCCAGAAGCATGTCCTGTTGGCAAGGAGAGGAAGATCCACCCCCAAGGAATGCAGAGCCGCTGCAAGCACGTCCCTTCCGCTGCCACCAGCACCCGGAGCCAGAGGCATGTGCCACGGAAGCAAAACAGAGGCAGGGAGCTCCAGGTTCGGTCCTTCTGAGCTGGTGTCTTTCCTGCTGCTTGGCGACAGAGCTGTGCTTTTCGGAAGGACCCTGGCGGGCCGAAAGAGCCCTCAAGCGGCCCCCTCAATCAATACCGGGATTCTAAGGCACGAGGAGCGCAGGCCTGGTCGGGCTGAATAAAGGCCCTCCTCGCCTGCCTAGCCTTGGCGTCCAGCCCGGGATGCGGGGTGTGGGGCTGGGGACTGGCATCTGGAGCTGAGGTTCTCAGCACCAGCAGCAAGGACCCATCGTGAGGGTCTTTCAGGGCAGTTCCAGCATGAACGTGATGGAGGTTTGCGGTGCGGATGTGCCCGTCCTCCCCCTCCCTGTGTGTGCACACCTAGGCACACTTCCACAGGTGCACACACGCTCGCACGCACACATGCACGCACAAGGGCAGATACAAATATCTGTCTGGCATACTCTGCGTGAAACTTCAGCTTGAGCTCTTGCCGAGTGTGGGGGGAAGGACCTCAAGTCAGCCAGCATCGCCCTTCCGGCTCCCACCTGCTGGACCTGTCCTCGCTTCCCCGCAGAACGAGAAGGAGTTCCGCGGCTTGTGCAGCTTCCCGCCTTGCCTGCGGCCTCTTCCTTCGGCCTGGGTGCTGCCCACCAAAGCTCTTGCTCCTGGCCAGAGGCATCTCACTGCTCGGCCTCCTTCTGCCCTGCCTCCCCCTGCAGGCCATGGACCCCGGCAGCTCCCCGTCGGTGCCGCTCATGATCGGCTGCGCCGTCTCCTGCATGGCCCTGCTGACCCTGCTGGTGATCTACGCTGCGTTCTGGAGGTAAGGGGAGCAGCTGCCCCTGGCCAAGGTGAGCTTCCGCCTGCGGGCCTTCAGCAGGGCTGTCAGCCCTGTTCAACCCCAGGGCCGGGTTCCATGTAGGGGCCATGCTCTGGGGTGGGTAACACCAAAATACCAGCCTGTTTGCGCTTGCAGCTGGTTAGTGGAGTGGAGCGGGGGAATGGCACAGCAGCTGGGAGGCCAGCGGGTTTCCTTGTTCAGTGGTCCAGGAAAAGCGGATGTGGCCAGGGGAAGGGGCGAGGACGTCTGTGGTCCCCCCGGGGGGCTGCTTCTCCAGTGTTCGTGCCGCTCTTTGAGCTAACAACAAGGCAAAGATGCGCCTCCCAGCATGTCACCTGAGGGGGCTACTGAACGCTGAGGACCCCGACCAAAATGCTTTGATTCCTTACCGTAGGTGGCACTGAAAACTGCCCAGACGGACAAGAATGGCATTATGGAAGTGGGACAGGATGGCATTCAATGTGGATAAGTCCTGCACTTGGGCCATAGGAATGGGTGGCATAAGAACAGGTTAGGAGAGAAGTGGCTGGAGAGCAGCACTTGTGAAAGGGACCTCGGGGTGCTGGTCGATTGCAGGCTAAACATGAGCCAGCAGTGTGACCTGGCGGTCAAGAGGACGAACGCCACCCTTGGATGCATAGCCAGAAGCGTGGCTTCTAGATCAAGAGAGGTATTACTGTTACTCTATATGACTCTGGTGCGCCCACAGCTGGAATACTGTGTTAAGTTTTGGGCCCCTCGTTACAGGAGGGATATAGCAAGGTTGGAATCAGTGCAGCAAAGGGCCACAAGGATGGTAGCTGGTTTGCAGGGTAAGCTGTATGAGAAGAAGCTGGGGGAACTCGGTCTTTTCAGCCTTGAGAGGAGGAGGCGCAGAGGGGACCTGTTGGTGATAAACAGGTATGTGAGGGGGTGTCACACGGAGGTGGATTGAGACCCGTTTTCCCCTACAGAGGAGGGCAGGACGTGCTGCAATGGAGCAAAGCTCAGGGAGCCAAGGTTCCATTTGGATGCCAGGAAGCACTTCCTGACAGTCAGGACCCCGAGGGTGTGGAATGGGCTTCCCTGGGAGGTGGTTGAGGCCCCATCAGTGCAGGTGTTCAAGGATAGGCTGGACGTCCACATGGTGGGCATGTCATGAGTGAAGCCAGCTGGAGCCGGGGGTCAGACTAGATGTCCCAGGAGACTCCTTCTGACTCGCTCTGTTTCTATGTTTCTGTGTTCTGTGCTTGGGCTGAAAGAACATTGCACAAACTTGAAGTTCAGGCAGTTTATTACTCTGATTTTAGACATCATTTACCTTTTTATTTCAACCTTGTATTCTGAGGGCCTATTTAAAATAGCTTCACATTCTGAAATTGGAGACATGACCCCTTCTTTTTTTAACAACCTACTGAAAGAAGAATATTGTAGAACAAAAAGCCCCAACATGACAAAATAACCCCCCAAAAGAATATTTAACACCAATTTGAGTTAATATTTGCTTGGAAATCAACTTAATTTCAGCCATAAAGGTTGGTATTTCCTTGCCGGCCTTTCAGTGCCCTCCTGCATATGGAACAGTGAGTTTGTCACACGTTCACAACCGAGAAAAAACAGCCAGAGCCCACCAAGGGCTGCAGGTTAAACAGCAGTGTGGGTTTCCTTGAAGCATCACATCAGCTGTGTGGGAGGTGCCTTTCGGTGGATTCATCCGGTGACACTGCTGCGGCATTTCAAGTCCTGCAGCCAGACGGGAGTGGCTGTAGGGCCTTGCTCCAGCCGTAGAATCAGCTCCACACCAGGCTGGTGGGACGGGGCTCTTCCCGATTCCAGAGAAGAACGTGCTGTGCAACTGGCTGCAAGCACTGGCTGTGGGTTGTACAGGGCCGGCCTTGCAGGTTTATGCAGGAAAAGCCCTAAAACTCCTAGGCCTGGCTGCGGCATGCTGGAAACTGTGGGACCTTGCTCAGAAACATGCACCGTTCTGCACCCCAAATCCCACAGTGCCCTTGTGACTGTTCGGCTATCCTCCCAACCCCACCAGCATTCAAGACCCAGCCAAGTACTCCCCCGTCCCTCACTTTATATTGTGCAGGTTCATCAAGTCGGAACGCTCCATCATTCTTCTGAACTTTTGTGTATCCATTCTGGCCTCCAACGTGCTGATTCTGGTGGGGCAGTCCCAGATGCTTAGTAAGGTAAGAAAAGTGGCATCCCGGTGTGGCACCTGCAGGACGTGCGGGGTCCCTTCTGCTGCGGGGCCGTCGTGGCCTGCTTCCTCTGCCAGCCCTTTGGGCTGGGCGTGTACAACCGCCTTTATTTATCTGCTCCGTGAAGCCAATGTTCCAAGTCTGAGACTAATTTGCAGCAACCTTTCAACCTTGAGTTTTAAAACATTTTCTAACTCGGTTTTGATGGGAAATTTGAATCAAAAAGGAAGGGTGAAACTGTGGTGGTGGCGCGGCGGGTGGGGCGGGGGGGGGGATTCGCCCTGTTTTCCCGGTCGCGAGTGGCTTTCCTGTCTATCAAGAATTCAGGCTCAGGTTTTCCTTCTCACTGGGCTGTCGCGAAGGACCAGATCATGTTATCCTCGTCGCCGTCCCGCGCCTGAGAGGAATCTGCTTTGTCAGGCTTCCTTAGCTGAGCTCCCTGGGCGCCAGCCCTCTTCTCCGCTGCCCCGAGTCCTTCTCACGCCGACCGCCTGCACGGGCATCTGGCCAGAAGCGAGTCTGTGAGGCCAGCTGTGGCACTCGCTCTGCAAGTGCAGCTCTGGTTCTGTACACATGTCGCCTGGGCTTTGCGCACTTTGCACAAAGAACCGCATCCTCTGCATGCTTTGCATGAAGCATTACACATGTTGTGCTTTTCCAAGGGTTTGCAGACTTGGTCTTCGTTTGGCTCGTTTCGTAGGAAAGGAGGGCAGGAAGCACAGGAGAGCTGGATTCCAACCTATTGGTGGTGGTGCTGATTATTGCATTGATTGGCGTAATTTGATTGATTGATTTGATGCATTTAGATGCATTCCTCCTTTTATCATAAGATGTCAACATGGTTTGACACAGTAACACAATGATACATAGAAAGAAGTTAGTATCTGCCCTCACTTTTCTCCTGCTTGGTGGTGGGATGGGGAGAAGGGAAGGGAAGGGAAGGGAAGGGAAGGGAAGGGAAGGGAAGGGAAGGGAAGGGAAGGGAAGGGGAGATGATGTTGCCTTCCCAGCCACATGGCCAGTGGTTGGGGTGATGGGATTTGTGCCAGTATCTGGAGACCTAGAGCTTCCTCACCCTGGTATCTGCAGACTGAACACGTCTTGATAGGCAAGAAAAACGATTTATGTGCTAACTTTCCCAATCAGTCCAAGGTCCATCCAGTCTCAGCACTCTTTTGGAAGCCATCACTTCCCAAATGGAATGTGTCTGGAAGCATGACTGGAGAATTATCATCACATTTCTGCTCCTCCCAGAGCTGAAGCTATCTGGCTGCTTCAGAACATTCAAGTCACCCATCCAGATTTCAGCCAGGCCTGACCCTGCTTAGCTTCCAAGAGCAGGCAGGATTGGACACTTCGGGTTATACGGAAGCTGTCCTCTCATTTGTCTCGGGCAGCTGGTCCTTGGGGGCTGCAGAATCTCTGTCCTAGAGGCAAGCTGAGCATAAACAGGATCCTGGGTTGGAACCCCCTTGCAGAGCTCTCTTCTTTGGATGCTGCAGACTCTGAAGAGTGCTCTGAGCTGCTCTTCTTTGCCTCTGTGCCTCTCGCTGTGTCTCTGGGGCTCAGCGCCTGAGCCTGAGGGTGACGGGAGGAAGCAGCAGCTGTTTGGCGACGAGTCATGCTTAGAGAAGTCTGTCCCTGCATGCCTGTCTACATGGGGAAGCTGAAATATTTGCTCATCCGCAGGCTGTATACATAGGAAGAAAGCGGGACATGGTGATGCTCGGGAGGATGCCAAGCAGCAGAAAAAGCAAGGAGCAGTGTGTGCTGGAAATCCCATTATTTAGGAAAGGGAAAGAGGGAAAGCAAAGCAAGTGTTTGGCTTTAGAAGTCAGCACCCAAGTTTCTCTGTTTTTTCATATAAGTATAAACCCAGCTGTTGGGCCTTCTGGAGGCAGAGATAACCTTGGGAAGGCTATGGTTTTTGGGCTGTCCGGGGCAAAATGCCCTCAGTGAGCCCCCTTACAATGGGGAAGGTTGAGAGAGAACTGGAGAAGTGTCTCCACCCTGCCCACTGTACTAGTTTCAACTGTTTACAAGAAGTGCAGTGTAGTGGTTAGAGCACTGGACTGGGAAGGAGGGGGTCCTATGTGGTGACCTTGATAAACTGAGGGGAGTACCACCATTCATGCTGCCCAGGGCTCCTCGGAGGAAAAGGCATATACATTGCAGGCCGAGCAGATGCACAAGGTGCTCTGGCTGCCGCTCGCCTCCTGCATCCCACCATGGGGACACTGCCTGCCTGCCTGCCCTCTTTGGGCGCAGCCCACGGACACAAAGGTCGCTTGCAGGGAGCACAAGGAGAGGAAAGGCGGCAGCGGCCTCTCTCTCGCCCCAGCATTGCTGCAGCCCGTTGGCACACTGCAGGGCATCGAAGAGTGCCGCCCTGTGGCTCCTCCCTGCATGGCGTCGGGAGGCATCAGGCTGGGGCTTGGAGAGCACGCTGCAGGCACGAGCAGCAAGAGGAGGGGCACGTGCACTCTGGAGGCGCGGTGGGTGCATCCGCGCATGACCGGGTGTGGGTGAAAGGGGATCCCCTGCCTCTGGACCATGGCTGGAGACAGTCAGCAGGTGCTGTTCCCCCAGGAGGTGAGGGGGCTGGGGCGCAGCTGCCTCCTGAGGCACACTTACCCCTGTTGTCTCTGCCTCTTCTGTCTTTCAGAAGAGGGGAAGGGGGAAGAGGGCAAGATAGCCCCCCCCCTCCTGGAATGCCCACGCTGACAGAGCTGGGTCTGGGGGCCAACCCTGCACAGCACATTCCTAGCCCCCGTGGGACTTCCTCCAGCATCCCCCAGTTAGGGATGTCAGAGAAATCCAGAGTGGATCTAAACATCTTCTGATTTCTGTGAATTCAACCCATGGATTCCATAGTGGACCAGCTTCTGCCAACTCACCTGGATTTATATACCTTTTCCGTTACTTTCCAGAATTGTATGCAAGTTTAGTTGTACAGAAATATAAAGGTTCCTGGAAAACGCACTAATGTATACATTAGTGTTACTCGTATATGAAGAACATCAATATGTACCATTTTAAAAGACACACATTTTGGCTTCCTCTGCGTAGAGTTTTTCATTTGGGCTCCACTTGGGAAAGTCATATAAATCATAACAGATCTTTTTGCATACTTTTCTGAGGTGGGGAAATTTCTGAATCTGTCAATGAGAGAACAGAGAATGAAAGACACCTGAAATGTGCAAAACACACACATTAAGACTAAATTTGTACATCTCAAAGCACTGTGGCCAATATGAAGAGTGAAAGGGGAGAAGTACTCAGCTCAGCCTCTCTGAGAATATGTTTGAACAATGAACGTGGCTGGCCTAGATACCCAGATTTACATCTCTACAATTCCAGCTGGAATTCTTCATTCTAGCCCCCACTGGGTTTCATGTGAAAGTAGTACTGTAACGGCCGCCTAGAAGATGCGGGGCTAGTTTCTTCCAGGCCGTGGGCTAAACAGTTTGATGTACAGGCACACGAATGCCGCAAAAGCCGTTCTAACTGCATTTCTCAGATTGCCGTTGATGGAATCAGATTTTGCACAAATGCACATTCCTTCAAATTTGCAGTTGTTCAGAACTGCACTACCAAAAAGCATAAGTCATCCTCAAATGCACATTTTCACAGTTTCACCTATGGGGAGTCATTTTTCATTTAAGAAATATTTATCTTTCTATGAGTAAATTGGATAAAATGACAGAAAGTAAGGAAAAAAGTTCACCAGTCTGCAGAATCCATGCAACTCAGGAAAATCCAGGCCATTGTGGAATTCAAAGGTCTGATTTTTACATTTCAAACTCATTTGAGTCCACTGAGGATTTCTCCAGCATCTGGTTCAAATCCCCTCCCAGGGAAATGCCCAACCACCTAGAAATATTTGGCCTTTTGATTTTTTCCATTGTCTGTTGTGGAAGGACAAAGAGCCCCAGTAGAGCTTTTCCACACTCTGGAAATCCAGGCGCGCGCGCATGCGCGCGCACACACACACACACACACACACACGAGGTAAACTGCTTTGGTAAATTATCCTTTGATCTTGAGAAGGAAAGATCAGTAAACTGAGACCATTATATTTTTTTTTAAGCAACTGTCTGTTTCACAAATTCTCTCTGGTCGGTTATTTAATAAATCCTTCAGATTGGAAATCAGTTGATTTGATTCTTGTTCATAGTCTAGGCTTGCCCCTGGCTGCACCAGGCCTGCCTGACAAGTATCATGAGCAGATTGTCTGAGGAAAGCTCGGCGGGGGGGGGGGGGGCGGCATCTCCAGGCCATCAGCCTGCCTTTTCCTGTGAGTTAGTAAAAAGACGCAGATGCAGGGGCAGCACGGCATCGGAGGAGCATCATGCGTCTTGCCTTGCGTCCTCCCGTGGAGGTGCAGACACACCAGGCGGCCACACTGGGCCTGTGCGAGCTGTGGCCCACCAGCTCGTGGCTGTGAATCAGAACCATCGAGCGGCAGAGTGGGGCGGGGCGGGGCGAGGAGGCCGCCTGGTCTGCCGCCTGGTCTGCCGCCCTGTGCAGTGCAGGGCACCAAGTCAAGCCATCTTGCTCAGGTGACTATCCAGGTGCTTTCTGAGTGTCTCAGCAAGGGAGAGCCCACAACTCCCCCAGGTAACAGGTTCCGTTGTTGTACTGCTCTGACAGTCAGGAAATCCTTCCTGGTGTCCAGTCCAAATCCGGATTCTTTCAACTTCGGTCCGTTATGCCATGTCCTGCACTCTGGGATGAGTGAAAAGAGGTCTTGACCTCTGGTCTCTGTGCCAGCCTTTCAGGTTCTTGTCGTGCCCCCAGTTCCCCCAATCTTTCCTCATGGGGCTTTGCCTCCAGCCCCTGAATCGTCCTTCCTGCCCTCCTCTGGACCCTTCCGAGCCTTTCTGCATCTTTTAAAAACTTCGGTGCCCAGAACTGGACACAGGACTCCAGGTGAGGGAGGGGAACTAGGGCTTCATGTTGCTGTTCCGGTCCCGGCTCGTAGGTCCTGCAGTCTGGCTTGGGCCGAGGGTGCAGCCCGTCTACCAAGGCCACCGCATTCCCCGTCGCAACGCTAGAAAGCTTCAGTTTCTCACCTCTGGGGCCACGGCTGGGGGCAGAGGTTTTGGGTGCGGGAACAGAGAGGCCTCCACTCCTTTTCCAGGACAAGGCCCTGAGTGAGATGTGCCCATCCTGTCTTTGTGAAACCATGGCAACAAATCTAACATTTGCATTGATTGGTAGAAGCCGGGGAGTGGGAGGTACTGGCGATTGGAGTAGGAGTCTGTGACATGTGACGGGTGCATCCTTTTCTCAGTGGCGGGGCAGGCGGGGGGCGTCTTCTGTGTAGTTTGCCCGGGGTTTTGGAATCCAGCCCCATAAAAATAGTGAGCTACCCTTGGGGAGCTTTCCTGCAGTGGACTTGCTATTAATTTGAATAGATCGGCATAAGCACACAACCGCTGCATGTCTGGGGAGCCGTATGTGCACCAGGGACGGAGAACCTAGGGGGTTCACAGTCACCCCGTTGCTCAAACTCCACATGGAAGCAGGGTTTGGTTCTTTTTTCTTTGTGCTGTGTTTTCCATTCATTTGAAGAGGAAAAGCATGCATTTCCCCCACAGCACAGGTTCTTCGGTGGTGCATTTTGTCTAAGGTCATGCAAATTTGGGCATATGCAAACATTCTTTTTGGAAAAATGTGCTCCTGTTTGCATTTGTGTTTGGGCTCACAAAGCCGGAACAAAATTGTCATACCTCCTTAATCTGCCCTCATGCGCATTTGGGCACCAGCTGCCCAAGCAGTTTACAGAGCTTCTCTTCAACTACAGAGCAGAGCAAAAACCTTCTCCCTTGCTTCATAACGTCTTTTAGGAGCACCAGGCAACGCCTCCCTTTGTGAGCACAGAGGCAGCAAACACCTTGTGGTTCCCACACAGTTTTTCCCAGCACCGATCTCCTTCCTGCTCCTTGCCTCGGCTTCATTTACCCACCCCACTGGTTTTACGCAGATAGTTGCTATAGGAACCCATTTGATTCTCTTGATGACATCACAGCACTGCCCCTGGGATGAGGATGTCATGGGAAAGAATCAGGCAACTTACCGACGAGGGGAGAGCCGACCTGGAGATGGCATCCTGGCTGTGGTCTGCTACGGCAGCCTTCCCCAGCCGGCACCCTTGAGAGGGTCCAGGCTGCAACTCGCAGCCAGCATGATCTGGCACCTCCGGGGGCTCCACGCCAAGAAAGGCAGCACTGGAGGCCTTACTGCCCCTCGGCTCCCACAACGGTGTGGCTGCACGAGCTACTGTGGCGACACAGGTGCAGGGCTTTCGAAGCCTGAAACACGCATGGAACGGCCATTGCTCTTGAGCCTCTGAAGCTGGATCAGCTGCATGTGCGCGCGATGTGGGTGAAGGTTGATCGCTCTTGAACTGTCTGATCCCCCCCCCGCCTTCTGCATTCTAATGGCTCTGGCTTTCTCCCTCTCCCCCCCTCCCGCCCCCCAATGCAGGGCGTGTGCACCATGACAGCTGCCTTCCTCCATTTCTTCTTCCTTTCCTCCTTCTGCTGGGTGCTGACAGAGGCTTGGCAGTCCTACTTGGCGGTGATTGGCAGGATCCGGACACGCCTAGTTCGTAAACGTTTCCTCTGCCTCGGATGGGGTAGGAAAGCATGTTCTCTTCCCGAGTCGGGGGCCACGTCCCTGGTTATGGGGGTCAGGGGGCACCCCACAGGGAAGGGAGCACCCTCTACGTGTGGGTGGCTGGACTGGTTCACATCTGGACAAGCAGCAGCGTTGCTCCTTCGCACGTGCAAAGCCATTGCAAGTGCGAACGCTGCCTGTCCCGGCCTGGTGCACTCTGCATGCTTTGAACTTCAGCCCCACCCGCCCAAGCCGGCTCGGCCAGCGCTCAGACTTGGTGGGAGTTAAGGCCCAGAGTTAAGGTTGCATCACGTCCTAGAATGCGGAGTGGAAGGGAACCTTGTAGCTACTGGATCCAGCCCCCGCTCAATGCAGGCAAACCTGAACAGGTACCTGCTCAGCCTCGGTGTGCAGCCCTCCAACAAGCAAGCACTGTTCTCCCCCTGCACCTGCAAAAATTGCTTCCCCAGTCAAGCTGCATTTGCCCTTGGAAAGGAATGCGAACACCGAGCCCCTGTGCTTTAAGCTCTGGAGGCAGCAGAGAACATATCTTTTTGGGGGCAGGGTATTTGAAAAGGCCTATCATATCCATCTTGGAAGGAGCATGGTTTCCACAGTTCCGATCACCTCCATTGTCAGATCTAACACAACAAATGGACTTTCTGCTCCAGACAATGTGCTCAGACACTGTGCTTTTCAGTGGAGACCGACCCAGGGTGCAGAACAGTCAAACAGTACACAGGAACTTCTGAGCCAGGACTTATTCTTGGGGCTGTGGATGCCATTTGCACCTTTTGCTTCTGGAAAGGGTCGTTTCAAATGCAGGGAAAAGTAAGGAGAGTGGAAGTCTTACTCAAACACCTTTTACAGTGCGCGATAAAAATTGGCCTAGGAATAGCATTGCATTTTAGCAATTCCACCAGGCTGGAAAATCCAGGCCGAAGTACAAAGTGAACCAACTTTCCTGCTGCAAAGATGTTCTTGGCTTAGTTTGTCTTTCACCTGCTTTCCCTAGACTTTCCTCCAGAGACCAGGAGCTGAAAAGAATGGGGAGCATGAAAGGCTGCGCCAAACTCTCAGAGAACTCTTGGGGAGGGAATTCCGCCCGAGCTTTCTCTGTAAGCTCATTGAGTCTGCAAAAAGCACACCCTACTCCAAATTAAGATGGGGGGTTTTGACCTATCACTAATCACAGCAACTCCAAGCCAACCAGCAGGGGCAGGAGGGGAGCCTGAAATGAACAAGACACGTTTTGTGCCTGTCCCCAAAGTGAGTCACAAAAGGTGCCCTTCTGCTTGTAAGAAAAGCGAGCCATCGCAATGGACAGCGGGAGGAAAGCTGGCCAGCTTGAAATAATGGCTCTTCTGAACATGCTTAGCACCATCCTTCCTGTCAGGGATGAGAGAGCTTGAGATTTTCGAGCAAGGAAATCCAACGCAACAGGCCGTTTCATCCCAGCAAGATGGCAGCTCTTTGCACGCCGCGCTGATTCTGTAGCTGTCGAACTGGTGGTCAGGCCAGACTGCCTTGCTGCCGGTGGGATGCAGCCCGCCTTCCCACAGGGGTATTTTGGCGTGTTCTAGAAATGCGCCATCACAAATGGCCTTCTGCGAGCACTTGTTTGAAAAGGGCAGGGGAGGAAACTGTGGAGGTTTTGCAACTCCTTGGAAGGAACATGTTCCAAAACAAAGACGGTTTGTGAGTCAGCCAGAGAGTAATTCCCCTGTTCTTGGTAATGGGTTCTTGGTGGTCCAGATCAGACCACCTCACTCATTCACCATTGTATCAGTTCTTTTATTTGTTTGTTTGTTTGTTTGATTGATTTGATTTCTATCCTGCCAAAATGGCTCTCTGGACTGGTTACAAAATATAATAATAGCAATATAGATAATAAAACAATTTGTAAATAAACAAGTATATTGTAGCAATAACGTTGCAATGATGAAACACAGAAAAAGTCCCACAATGAAACCACACAATAACCTCAGTTCTTAATAAAAGGCACAGTAGCACAAGATGTAATAAATGCCATAAACATCTTTAAAATTATCTTAACGATTAAAAACTGGGTAAATAAAAAAAGAATTTGCTTTATTTATTTTTCACCTGGTGCTGAAAAAGAATAAAGAGAGGGCACCAGGCGATCCTCCAGAGCCAGGGTGGCACCACCGAGAAGACCCTCCCCCTTGCAGCCTCCTTCTGTATTTCCCGCGGAGGGGGCTCTCTGAGAAGGGCCTCAGATGGCGATCTTAGGGCCCAGGGAGGCCCTTATGGGGCGAGGTGGGGAGCTCCTTTAGATACCTTGGCTTGCAACTGTTCTACCTGAGGGCTCCATGCACTCTTGGCAAGTGAAGTGGAGCAGGTGGCTATGAGGGAGAGGGCCTCTGGGAGAGCCTCCCCAGAGAGGTCCACTTGGCACAAGCTTCATAGCCTTTTCGGCACCCAGGGGACCTCTGAGGCACGCAGGCCTCCCGGGGCTCTCACAGTGCGCGCGCAGGGGAGGGTTACTCCTGGCAGCGCCCCTCTCCGCTTGAAGGCAACTCTTCTGCTGTATTGTCAATGTGTTCCGTTATTTCTAACAGTTGTATAGCATATCTTAAATATTGGAAACATTTGGGGTCTTTCGCTCTATAAGTGACCTGGAGAACAATTCTTGATGGACACCCCTTTTCGCTCTGTAAGGGTTCTTACCTCCCTCCTTTCCGTGCAGGATTGCCAGCCCTGGTGGTTGCAGTCTCTGTCGGCTTTACGCGGACCAAAGGATATGGCACATCCAGCTAGTATGTTCTGCAAGGGGTCGGGGTGGGGATGGAGGGAGCGGGGAAGCGCACGGCTGGCCCGATGCCCGCGAGGCGAGGCAGGGACCTAGTTTCCAAACAGGAGCCTGGGCACCCCAGTAAATCCTGTCCTCAGTCTCCAGAAGAAGACTGTTCCAAGGAGTGTGGTGGAACAAATCCTTGCTGGGAACTTGCCCCACATCCCCCAATGTCCTGGCGGGGCCCAGAGCCCATTCCAATTGGTAACTGGCCTTCTCACACCCACACCTATCCCATCAGGCCCATTACCTGTGGCAGAGACCCCCAGGGGTTCTAGCCAGGATGCGAGCTGAAAACCGCTCCCTGAGTCTGCCCTGGAGGAGACTTACCTGGAGAGCAAGGGTGGGGGGAGGCAGCTCTCCGGCCTGCGGGCAGGCACAAGGGGGTCGGTAGCCGGACGCTGCCTACCAGCCAGTCTATTCTGGCTTCACCCAGTGTGGCTGGAAAAAAGGTGCAGGCATCAGCCAGCAGACGAACCCGCCGGAATGAGGCAGGACTAGGAACTGCCGGACCCCCACCCTTTATCCTCTGCGTGCGAGCCCACACCCCCTGTGTTGGGCCCTCCTTCCCACTAGTGCGGCCAAAGAGGGGAGCCGCCTCCAGCATATCGGGCTGGCAAGGCTCGTGCAGAGGGAGGTGGGAGCTCGCAGGGATCTCTGCGCTGGGACACGGAAGGCGGCTCCAGATCTGGTTCCAGGTGCCGGGAGGGGAGGCCCCTTGAGGTCTCCCTGCTCTGCCCTGCAAAGCAGACAACTGGCGCCTTCTCTCCCCAGCTGCTGGCTGTCCCTTGAAGGAGGACTGCTCTATGCCTTCGTTGGCCCTGCTGCTGTGATCGTTCTGGTAGGTCTGTTGCCTGGCCCAGGGGCCTGTTTTGCAGCCCCCGCCCCTCCCCAACTGGGGGAAAATGCACAAGAGTGCAGATTATTTCTACCTGGAAAAATGTGTGCAAAATATGGGCAAAAGTGTGAATATTCAGATTCTGGGGGGAGTGGGCTTGCATTTGTACATATGCACAGTTTTGAATGCAAATACACACTCAGGAAATTGTGTTTTCGTTTGCATTCAGGGTTGCAAATGGGGCAAGTTTGTACAAATTGCAAATGGGAACAAAAACTTGGAGAGCCCCAATGATCTCTCTCTCCCCCTTCCCCCTTCCCTTCCCCTTGCAGGTCAACATGCTGATTGGAATCATAGTCTTCAACAAGCTTATGTCTCGTGATGGCATCTCAGATAAGTCCAAGAAGCAGCGTGCTGGGTAAGTCTCTCTCTCTCTCTCTCTCTCTCTCTCTCTCTCTCTCTCTCTCTCTCGTAACGGCACCTGACCCTCCCAGCTTATTTTGGCAAGAAGTCTGCTCTAAACCATGATATTTATAGGAGGGTGGGATAAAGAGCAAACAAACGGGACGATCTGCAAAAGACCTGCTGAAAGATCTCACTAATCTGATTCTTCTGGAATATCAGAAGAATAATTTGCTCAGATCTTTGACCTGTGGGAGTTGTGGTGACTCGGCTAAGTATATGAGAATATTGCAAGAGCGCCTACCTTCACCCCACCCTCGGGAGTTGTTCTAGTCGTATTGCAGTGCAGTCAACTGCTGTCGGGATGTTTAGCCCTGTGAGAATCCTTGGGATTTGTATTTTGATTGGATTAAATGCTGAACGGAACGTCCTGGCCCCTACTCTCCCCCTTCTGGGTCCAGTGTAACTCGTGCGTGGGGCAGAGACCCACAGCGGAACAGGGGACGCACTCTCGTGTTCGCTTCTGCTCTGTGGGAGAAGTCCAGCCCCTGGACCTGCGGAGCCCCCTTCCCGGCAGGTTTGCCCGGCTATTCTGCCGAGAAGCACATGCCAGCCTTCCGTAATGGGAAGACACCTGGTCGGGGGAAGGAGCCCCATCCCTCACAGGCCCCGTTTCTCGCCGGAGCTTGTAAACATGGCTTCCCGCGACCACTGTGCCGCCCGCGGTGCCTGCAGCTGCTGCAACCCCCTGCTGGGAGCCCTTTGTTCTTGGCGCTGCCTGGGATCCAGCAAGAAGAGAAGTGAAGCAGGCAGGCGGGAGGGAAGCTGAGCACCCCGGCAGGCGCGGCGGTGCTCCGGACAGGGCTGGGCGGGCCGCTCCCCAGGTGGCTGCCGCAGCTGCCTCAGCCGCTGAATGCTGCAGGCGGCAGCTGCAGGGCAGCTGGAAGAAGGGGAGTCCTGCAAGATGCACCGCCGGTGCTGCGCCGCCGGTTCCGCGCGCTCTGTCCCTCGTTCCAGCACCAGAATGCGAGCGTGTGGGACGGAGGCTTCTTGGGATCGTGGCGCATCCCTGCTGAGCCCTCGGAACCCTGCACGGGTCACAAACTTGCCGCACTCTAAATACATTTATTTATCTTGGAGTGTTTACAGGAGGGGAAGCCATGGCCCCCCAGCCAGAGCTCCCAGGTCCTTGGGACATCCCGGGCATGCCAGGAAGGCTTGGCTGCCCAGAGCAGGGGGCAGCTGCTTCCCAGCCCCTTCCAGCGCCACCACTTCCCATGCAAGGGTCACCGAGCGCCGTGTGCGGGGTGCTTGCATGCATCTGGCAGCTTTGGCTTCAGCATTTTGGGCTTCCTGAACCCCCACCCCGCAAGCAGGCTTCGCTGCTTTGCAGAAGAGGCCACCTGCCCCATTTCCACCCCAAGTTCTGGGAAGGCCACAAAATGTCAGTTCATGGGGGCCAGGCAGGGAGGAGGGGGTGGCTGAGGCCTGGTCCGGGAGCAACACCCCCTCCTCTTTGACCTGGCATAGCAGGGCAAAGAGCATCTTTTGGCGCTCAGCCCAGGAGAGTGGGGCACAAACCACTCCAAAAGCCCCCACCCCCACCCCAGGGTGAGTGGCCCCCTTGCTCCATGCTGGCTGCCGAAGGAGCCGAGCCGCCTGCAACTAACCCAGCTGTCTCTCTCTTTCTCTTCTTTCTGGACCCCTTGTTGCTTTCTTCTCATCCCCCCACCCCACCTCCTCCCCGCCTGATTGCCTCGGCCCGCCTTGACCCGGGCTGCCCCCCCCCCCCGGCCACTGTGCATCTTCCCTGCACCCCTCCTCGGTGGGGCTGGGGGCAATTTGGGCCACTGTGTGTGGGGGTGCTGGGGCCACCTGCAGCTTCAAGCACCCCCCGTGCAGCAGCTTGCTCTTGAAGTGTTCCAAGTGCGGAGTGGTCCTGAGCCCAGCCGTGCACTCGGCCACCGCCCACAGTGCCATGTTAGTCCCCTCGGTGCCTGCCCCGGCGGCTTTCTTCCGGCTCCTTTTTGCTTTCAGTCCATTTAGTTGCCAGCGTGTGCCAAGGAATGCTGCTTTTCAGCTGGCCGCACCAACTTCGCTTTAAAACGCTGGCTGCCCTCAAGGGGAATTTCTAGCGGCGGCCGAGCAGGCGTGCTTCCTTAGCCCGCGCAGCTGGGCTGCCTTTGCTCTTGAACCGAAGGACCCGCTCTGCACGATCACCCCACTCGTTCGCAGAAGATCATCTGCTCTGAGCGAGCACAGCGCATTTCCAGCGTGCAGGCACCTCGGCGTGCCGAGCACACGACTGACTGCTCCATTGCCGGCCAGCCCCTTTCTTTGCCACCACAGCTGTGTGCAAAGCTCTCGCTTTCATGCTGAAGCCCTTCCCCCACTGAGACTGCAGCAGCGTTTCCCAGACTGAGCTCACCAAGTGTATTAGACCACAGTTCCCATCCTTCTTGCCCATGGTAGCCCTTGCCCTGCTGGCTGGGGTGATGGGAGCTGCAGCTAGGGTCGGGGTGAACTGCTGGAAGCTGCCCCTCCAAGCTTTCCCGGGCTTCCTCTTGTGCCTTCCAAAATGAGCCAAGCCAAGAGGAAGTCTGCAGGTGCTCACAGAGCTCCGGCTGCACAACCAGCAACCCTCCTCCATGGACAGGCTTCCAAAAGGTGGAGGAGGCTGCTTGCCGCGCAGCGGCTGGGGGCAGCTTTCCTGGCCGCCCCTTGCGACTTGGCGGCCCGCAACCAGCCTTCCTCAGCACAAGGAGCAGCCTCTGTTGCAAGGAAGGCCTTCTCTCCCGCTTGGGAAGGGGGCGGAGGCTCCTTGGGACTGTGGATCATCCCTGGCTTGCAAGCAGGCGCTGCCTGTGCAGCGTGGGGGGCTAGACTCCCAGCTCGGGGCTCACTTGCCTGGAGCCTGGAGCCTGGGCCTCTGCAACGTGACGGGGAAGCCAGTGTGTGGCCCGATTCCTCACGCATCCGCAGTGGCAGTGCACCCGGAGGGCACCGGTTTGGGAAGGGCTTTCTGCGGCTGTTCATCCTGGGGGTGCCCTGGAGCAGCTGCCCTTTTCTCTGCCACTGCTTCCCCATCCCTGGATTAGTCATCCAGACGCTGCAACAGACGGGCTGGCGTCATGAAGCCACATGGCCAGTCCGGTTCAGCTCTGTGTCGTCAGGCGGGGCGTTTGTGAGCGAGGCAGGGGAAAGAGCAAAGCAGGCCCTTTGGTAAGCGAGGCTGAGCTGCCGTGGAGGAGAGGGCAGCCAGAAGTGGTCCCAGGAGGCAGTGAACAAGCTTGGCCCTGGCCCAGACAGTGGTCGGAAGGGATCTTGCACGCTGGAAATGTTCGGCTCAGCAGCTTCTCTCCACTGAGCTGTCAAAATGGCTTCAGGTTTTTTGTTTGTGTTTGTGTTTAAAAAGGAACCACTTTTAAAAAGTTCTTTTACAGGTAATTAAAGAACCGCCAACTTAGGAATGTGCAAATCAGCAAAATGCTAGCTCCCCTGAGTTCCCCAGATTCCACACAGAGTTTGTTCCTGCTGGAGTTTGTATTGGATCGCGAGTGTTTTTTTTTTCTTTTCATGGGAAAATCCATGGGTATTTTCATGTGCCTGTACCCAAATGTACCCGTTAGTTGCATGCCTCTTTGAAATGTTTGCATTCCACACCAATATTTGTGTGCATTTTTCAAAAGTCTGCATTTTTCATGCACATTTCCCAAATATGCACATGATGTCCAGCACTTTTTTTTGGTTCGCAAATTACGATGCAAGCTCAGATCATTTAGTGATGCAAACCACAGCTTATGTCTGAGTCCAGACAGTGCAAACTGAATGAATCCTGATAACGAAATGAAACGCATTTTCCATGCGTGCCTGCTGGCAGCATGTAGCCCCTTTTGATGCGCATAACTGGATCCCTGGTGTTCTGCTTTGGCCAACCCAAGCTCTGGGTTAGGAGGTCTGCCGCGTTCCAGCCTTGGAAGGATGCTCTCCTCTTCCCGTGGCTGCCAGGTGGTGCGGAGCCACCTGTTCCAAGAGCTTGCAAGACCCTCAGGCTGTACCATCTCTGCCATCGGGTACCATTCTGCTCCCGAGTCTACTGCCAGCAGCATCCGGGATGCTCCAGGGAGATGGGCAGGCATGCAAGATGACAGTGCTTACGGGGTTTTAATTTTTAAAGACAGAAAAACCTCCTTGCTGAAGAAGCGCATGCGCGCGCACACACATATATATATTTAAAAAACCTCTTTTATGTGTGAATTGCTCAGGATGGCAAGTATAATTTTGACAAAGAGCAGAATGTGTATAGCAGCTTCCTCAACCAGCCCGGGGCCCACGAGCTGCATCCATTCCCTAGCGCACATCAAATTGATTGCGGTTATCAGCTGCTAGAATGAAGCCCGGCTCGCACCCCTAAGTCGGCTGTATGTCGCAGTGGAGCAGCGCACTCCTGCGCTTTGGTGCAGCCCTTGTCCGCTTTAATGGGGCTCCCACAGGAGGCCTTTCGAGCGGATGGTGCTTCCTTGTGAGAACAAAATTGGAATCCTCAGCCAGCGGAGACGAATATCCTCAGCTTCGCCAGTGAGAAACACAAACCTCTGGAATTATGTCTGGCCAACTGGCAATCGCTTCCATTTGATCACAGCCTCTTTCCAGCCGCAGCGCTTTCTCCCGCTTAAATTGCTGGAAACATTCTCTCCATTTGCTTGCATTGCCTTTAACGAGCCTTTAACAGCCAAGCCTAGCGTGAGAGGGGATGTTAGAATTAAAACATAGTTGGGTCCAACTAATTGCTCGCATGAGCTGCTGTCCGCCCCGTGCTCCAGCTATGCCTGCCTGCTTGCACGGGACAGAGAAGGGCGAGGCAAAGGGGAGTCCTCACTGGGGAAGGGCTGTTCCTTTGGCCGCTGGCACCCTTAATTTGGCTCCATTGCCATGCCTCATCTTCCAAACTGCCCTGTCCCCCAGTCCCTTTCTGGACCCCCATGAATCTTGGCGCGGAGGAGGATTTTGTTTCTGCCGTGCACACAGGTCCAGTTTGCAATCCTGAATGTGGCCATGAGTAGGCGACCTTTTCAGAAAAATGTTAGCATATTCCAAAAGTTGCTGTCTCTCTCAAAAATGTGCATTTTTTCCAAATGTACACTTTGATATATGCATTTCTTATTTTTAAAACATTTTCACACCTGAGTCAATGCGGGACAGTGTCCAGTTTTGACAAATGCATACAGAAACATGTATACTTCCTCTTTTGAAATGCTCATTTTTCCTCTTCCAATGAGCCTGAAGGACAGATCAAAATGCAAACAAGCCAACAAGTTAGAACTGAGTTTTGGAGAATTAAGGCAAACTTGAAAATTGCTACTTCTATCTCTTTGTGAAGTCCTGGTCCATTTTTTAAAATCTGTGGAACTCTTGCCGTGTCATCTAATTTGGCCCTGTACAAACCTCTACAGATGATGTAGTGGAAGAAATAAACCTCAGGGCAAAGTCAGCAGGACCATTTGGGGAGTGGGTGTCTTTCGCCTCAGGCAAAGGCAGCAGCCATGTTAAATCTGCCTCTTGGAAAGCGCTGCTGCTGCAGCCGAATTCCTGTTTGTTGCCGACCGCTTGCAGGCACCCGGTCCTTTGTCCAGGCAGAAAGCGACCTCCTTGAGCTAGGCTGGGAAGGGAGGCTTGGAGGCATGAGAACAGCACAGGGTGCTTGGCCTGGTTCTGGGAAGGGCTGGCTGCAGCCGGAAGGACTCGGAGAAGGGTAGGGAAGATCTCTGTGGGAGCAGGGCTAGCTCTGCCTCCTGAACTCCTTCCCTGAATGCCCCTGGAGCCCATCAGACTCAAGGTGGGACTTGCTTCAGGCCAAGATGAAAATGCCTCTGAACACATACAAAGTGCATTTCCTCACAGACTGCAAAGAGCCCCCACATGTCTCAGTGTCATCTCATGAAGGCGGACCACAGCGTCTCTCTGGAAATAGAAGCCGTGTTTGAGGCAAGGAAGGCTGGGCGGACCCTTCCCTGGAACGCTCGGCCGCTTGCCGGCACCGAACTGCCGTTCGCCATCGCCCGCTCCCCGTCCAGGCCCCTTCGGGTACCGGCCGACCGGTCGCAAAGGGCCGCCTGGAGTGGCATGGAGGAGCAGCCCCGTGCCTTCTCCCTCCCCTCCCCCTCCCCTCTTGCCCTCTGTGGTTGGCTGCTGCGCCTGTCTCTCTCACCGTCTCCCCTCCCACCCCCTCCCAGGGCATCGCTATGGAGCTCCTGCGTGGTCCTGCCCCTGCTGGCGCTCACCTGGATGTCGGCCGTGCTCGCCATGACCGACCGGCGCTCCATCCTCTTCCAGGTCCTCTTTGCTGTCTTCAACTCAGTCCAGGGCTTCGTCATCATCACCGTCCACTGCTTTCTGCGCAGAGAGGTGGGCCTCCCACTGGCGTCCTGCTCAGCTTCGCTTGGTTTTCTCGTGTCTCGATGCGCTTCTCCTGGGCTCCCTGTGCTTTAAAAGGCAACCCAGAGCATGTGCGACCCCCCGCCCCCCCCACTCCAGCGCATCCCATGTGCAAATCTCCCCTCAGCAGACGTCTCGAGGCAAACCTAAGATCCGCCTTGCACAAGGGTCCCCCTCTGAAAAGACATGGAAGTGGCCCCTCCCCCTGCTTTGCTGCCCACGAATGGGGTGAGGAAAGGGCGAGGGGACAGCGGGCCCTGCTTTGAGGATGCCACGTGCCTCCCGTTATAACTCTGAAAAGTCACACGCCCCAGCTGTCAATGGCCAGTCCCAGTCAGGGTGCTCAAGCACCTGCAAGGGAGAAGGCAGCCTTGCACCCCGAGCCGTTTCAAGAGGCCTTTGCCATCCAGAGCCACTGCCGTTTGCTCAGGTTCTCAATCAATCAATCAATCAATCAAATTGATGGCTGGCTGGTTTGTGGGTGGAGGTTTGGCCACGTTTTCTTCTCCTTTGGTTCCATTCATCTCTGCTCTGAAGGCGAGAGTCCTGCCCCTCCCCCAGCTGCCCAAACGCCCCCCTCTGTCTTGGCGCAATGGGCAGTGAACATAAAACACAGGTGCGCACGAGGGGCACATGCAACGCCCGTTGTGGCCAGCTGCTCCCCGCATCCCTCGCTCCCCCGTCAGAAAGCGCGAGCTTATAGCAGCAGCGTTCTTGCAACCACGTCCGTCGCTTAGAGACATTGCAGCTGGCGTCTGGGTGCTCGGAAGGTCATCCGGAACAGCACGTGTCTTTGGGGCTGTAAGCCAAGAGAGTCAGAAGTTTTACAGGCTAATAAACAAAAGTCTTGGGCAGGGGGAGCGAGACATAATGCGAACTCATAAATACTCTCAAGGTAACAGCACAGGCGGGGATGGGAAATTGGTTACTGCAGGACTGGAGGCAAATGAACTCGCGGTTGTTGGCGAAGAGCGCCAGGTCGTCATCCCATCCGGCAAAGATTTGCCCACTGGGCGGAGGACGCAGGATCACCTCTAAGCCGAGGCACTGCGGGAAATCTTAGTAGAGCTGGAGCTGGCCTGTGAGGCCGCTGAGACCGTTGCAGGGCACTGCATGCAGCGCCCCCCCAGAGGGCTGCCCAGGCGCCTCGCGAATGCCCCTGGCGTGGGAGAGCCCTCCACCTTCCCGGCTCATGGGCTCCATCTTGCAGAACTGCTCTGGCAGGCAGGCTGTTTTTCCTGACGCCCAGCCAGAACCTGGCTTCCTGTCTCCTGAGCCCTTAGTCTGCGTCCCAGCCCTCCTCGGTGTGACAGCCTTTCAAGGATTGGAAAAGTCCTGTCACCCTTTGAACTTCTCTTCTCGGGGCTAAACATGCCCAGTTCTTCCAGTCTCTCCGCATAGTTTCCAGTCCGCCACACATCCTGGTTGCCGCCTTCTGGACCCTTTCCAGCTTGTCCGCCTCTTTCTTGGCTGGTGGTGCCCAGAACTGGGCACAGCATCCCAGAAGGGGCCTAACAGGTGCTGAATAAAGGGGAGCCCCTACTGGCAATGCGAGGGGGTGGCAGTTGGAGCGGGTAGGCGCTGACCAGGGTCGGGCTGAGAGCGACTTGCCAGTGTGCCTCCTCCTCCCAGGTCCAAGATGTGGTGAAGTGCCAGATTGGGGTGTGCAAGAGTGACGAGAACGAAAATTCCCCAGACTCCTGCAAGAACGGGCAAGTCCAGATCATGGTGAGTGAGTGAGGGGCCCGCGCCATGGAGGGGGCCGCAGAAAGCCCGCTGCACGTACCCAGGAGGGGATGTGGGGTGGGGTGGAGCCCAGCCACGGCTTCCGTCACAACCTTTTGGTTGTGTCGCTGTGGTGGAGAGAGAGGAAACTGGTGGGTCTATAGCAGCTGATGCAGCTCTGCCCTTTGCCGGATACTTGCAGTAATACATACCAACTGCTCATAGCAGCCTTCTTCAAGCAATTTCCCTCCAGATGTGTGGGGACCACAATGCCCATAATTCCCAGCCAGCATGACCAACAGCTGGCATGCTGCGTCTGCTGGCCAGGCATGCTGGGAATGATGGGAATGGCAGTCCAAACACAAGCAAAGGGTGCCACGATGGGCAGATCTCGTTTGCAGGGTGCTTTGCCCAAGGCAGCCTTTACCCACTGGGAGCACGTCAGCTGTGTCCGACTGCAGTTCCCTCCTTCCAGTGGACTCGCGATCCCACGCCACTGGGAGGAACCAGGTGGGGGCAAGCGTCCCTCGGCTTCGTGTCCGCTCTCTCAGGAATCCTTACAGGTGCTCCGTAAATTAGGCCAGTGTTCCTCGGCCAAAAGTGGCGCAGGGGTGCTTATGGAGACGGGCAGCCAGAGACACCTTGGCATGCTTGTGGCCTGCTGGGGAGTGCAGGGCAGTTTTGGGAGTGTGTGGCTCACAGCTCACGCTCTCGGTCGGCAGGCTAAAATGTGCTTGGCCATGCCACGCGCATTCAAGGTGGCGGTGCTTATGCCACGGCGATGGCGCCTCCACTCTGGAAAGGGCCCCGCCTTCTTTGGCAATGTGCCACTTTAGAGGAGGCTGAGCAGTGGCCGTCATGCTGAACATGGCCAGACATGGCCCATGTGGCCGCCGGAGCTCAGCCCGGGGAGTTGCTTCCACGCTCCCCAGGGTGGCGCCTTCCCCCCATCTGGATCCACCCTGCAGATATGTGGGATCACAGTTCCCGTCATCCCAGGCCTCACGGCAATCAGAGTAGCTCTCAAGTACCTCTGGGCGGTGCCAGGTGGGGGCAAGCTAGTTTATTCATGCATCTCGGGCAACGTGATACTTTTCGATATGAAGAGCCAGCAGGTTGCTCAGCAAGGTCCTGCTACCTGTGATGCATTCATTTCTCCACTCCCACCTCCTCTCTTTCTGCTCCTTTCTCTCTCCCTCTCCCTCTCTTTGCTCTTCTTTCTCTCCCTTTCTCCCACTCTTTCTGTGTTTTTATAGACAGATTTTGAAAAGGATGTTGACCTGGCATGTCAGACAGGTGAGGCCCTCTCCCTCTGCCCCTGGCGTGCACCCGGGCCTGGCACCGGAGGGCTTGGCCGTGGGAGGGGTGGATTGTCGAGAGGGGAAGGAGCCGGCCAAGGTTCTTTCCCGGGACAGAGCGGGAGCGGTGTCCTGGCAGGGCTGGGGGCCGAATCAGCATGTTTGGCGAGGGAGGCACCCCGCTCATCAGGTGCCCCTCAGAGCAACAGCTGCAGGGGACGGAGGTGAGCTGCCATCCCCAGGGCTGCCAGCAAGGGCCAGCTGCAGATGAATCGCCAGCGCCCAGGAATGGCTCAGCCGGCAGCTCCCTTCTCCCTCCGCCCCTCCAATGTTTTGTCCCCATGGCCTCCCAGACCTGTCTGCTGCCATAGTGCCTTCCCTAAGAGCTGCTCCGAAACCGGATCTGGCCCTTGGCCTGGAGAGACTGCCCGCCCACTACAGGGCCAACTCCCCAGACATGGGATTGCCCGGCACGGGGGCCCCTCTTCCCTGCACAGTCACTACAGGCCCCGTCTGACTGCCGTTTTTCCTCCCAGTCCTCTTCAAAGAGGTCAATGCCTGCAACCCGGCCACCATCACGAGCACCTTGTCGCGCATCTCCCTGGATGGGGACGAGGACCCGAAGCTCAGCACCAGCTCCGAGGGCGGCCTGGGCTTCTCTTCCCTCCCGGGCAACATCCCGGCCACCTCCATCCTGGTGCAGGTGCCCAAAATGACTCACAACGTGGTGAAAGGGCTGAACGAGCTCAGCGACCCCCCCGCCAAGAAGGACGTCAACCTGGAGGCTGCCCGGGGGCCGGTCTACCTGTGTGGCGAGAGCACCCTGCGGCAACTGGACTACAGCTGGCTGCGGCCTCAGGAGGCCGCCCTGGAGAGCAACTACATGGTGCTGCCCCGACGGACGGTGAGCCTTAAGCCCTTCGTCAGGGAGGAGGGCAAGCTCAACATCCAGCTGGATGAAGCTCCGGGCCTCGGCAAGGGCCGCCACGTGACTGAGGCAGAGTCCTACCCTGGCTTCACCTCCGTGGACCACATCAATGTGAACTTGAACCAGCCCTATGGGACGGTCAAGCACCCATACAGCCTCCAGTTCAAGCAGCACCCCACGGTCCGGCAGATCCTGGCCTCGGAGCTGTCAGAGCGCAGCCGCACCATGCCACGGACCGTGCCGGGCTCCGCCATGAAGCTGGGCTCCCTGGAGGTAAGGGGCAGCGGCTGGGCTCCTTCACAGGCCGGGGCCTGCAGGGACAGGGTGGGGGGCCGCCGGGGTGCCCCCTGATGCTTCGCCAGAGCAGCAGAGGTGCCCTGTCCCAGAGCGGGCAGGATCTGCCCGGGCTGCCACATGCTGCTTGGTGCCCTGTAGGTGCAGACATGGGAATGGCTTGCACGGCGTAAACAGAGATGTGGTGCCATCTCGCTGCACTGTGGCAGGCTGTGACTCCGCCACCTGGGCACCTGCCAGGCCCACCTGTGCAGGTGCTTGCTGTTAGTGGGGAAAACAGTTCTTGATGGAGTGTTCCCCCCTCCCCCCAGTAGCTTAATAATGCTTTAGAAACTGGGAGGGTGGATGAGGGACTCACAGCCCTGGGAGTGGCCTTTGGGAGGCTGGGAGGTGCTCATTGGAAGCAGGAAGTGCCAGTCCAGCTGAGCGGGACTAGAAACATAGATACATAGAAGCAGAGCAAGTCAGAAGGGGTCTCCTGGGCCATCTAGTCTACCCCCAGCTCCAGCCAACTCAGTTCATGACATGTCTACCATGTGCATGTCCAGCCTATCCTTGAACACCCTCACCGGTGGGGCCTCAACGACCTCCCGTGGAAGCCCATTCCACACCCTCGGGGTCCTGACTGTCAGGAAGTGCTTCCTGGCATCCAAATGGAACCTGGGTTCCCTGAGCTTTGCTCCGTTGGAGCGCATCCTGCCTTCCTCTGCAGGGGAGAACAGGTCTCTACACATCTCCGTGTGACACCCCCTCACATACCTGTATGTCGCCAACAGATCCCCTCTGAGTCTCCTCTTCTCCAGGCTGAAAAGACCCAGTTCCCTCAGTCTCAACTCATATGGCTTTCCCTGCAAACCGGCCACCATCCTTGTGTTACTTCACTGCACTGATTCCAGCCTTGCAATATCCCTCTTGAAATGAGGGGCCCAGAATTGAACACAATACTCCAGTAATACCTCTCCCGATCTAGGAGCCAGATTTCTGGCCTTGCAACCAAGGGCGGTGTCTGCCCTCTTGACTGCCGCATCACACTGCTGACTCATGTTTATCCCATAGTCAACCAGTGTCTGAGATCTCTTTCACAAGTGCTGATCTTCAGCCACTTGTCCCCTAACCTGTATTTATGACACCTATTCCTATGCCCCAAGTGCAAAACCTTGCCCTTATCCACACTGAACACCATCCTGTTGTCCCCAGCCCATTTCCGTAGTCTATCCAGATTCTTTTGGATCTGGAGTACCTTCTCAGTTGTGGCCACTGCCCCAGTTTTAGTATCATCTGCAAAACTGATCAGCAGACAGGTCACCCTCTCTTCCTTGTCACTGATGAAAAGATTAAACAGGATCGGCCCCAGGACAGAGCCCTGGGGGACCCCGCTTGTTACTGGCCACCATCCCGATGATTCCCCGCTAATGGTTACCCTCTGCTTTTGGTCAGTCAACCATGCCCTAATCCACCGGATGGTGCTTTGGTCTATCCCAAAACTCCTCAGTTTCTCCACCAGGATATCATGCGGCACTTTGTCAAAGGCCTTGCTGAAACCCAGGTAAACCACATCCACCGTCTAGCCTCCTTGAAACCTAGTCATTGAATTCCACATGGTTCGTCTGGCAGGACCTGTTTTTGTGGAAACCATGTTGTGTGGCTGCCAACCTACCTTCCCTATCCAGGGTTACTAGATCTCTTATGATTGTGAGCCTTTCCATTGCCTTTCCTGGAAAGGATGCAAGGCTAACCGGCCTGTAATTCCTCATGTCCCCTCAACTTCCCTTTTTGAAAATTGGGACCACTGATGCCACTCTCCAGTGCTCTGGAACCTTACCCATTCTCCACAAGGCCTCAAAAATGGAGGTCAATGGATGCGAGAGTACCCCTTCCAACTCACAAAGTACCCTCGGGTGCAACCCATCAGGGACTGGTGCCTTGGTAATGTCCAGTGCCCCGAGGAGCTCCTCAACTTCTAAGGGAGTGGCTCTAATCAGTACCCCTGAATCCCCAGCCTCCAAGTAGATCTCCCCTGTTCTACTTTTGAGAGAACACAGAGGCAAAATAAGCATTTAGCATCTGCGCCTGGTCCCTCATCAGACACCGGATCACCTTCTTCCTTATTAAGCGGTCCCACAAAGCCCTGTCAGGAGAGACAGAGAGAACTGGGCATATCTATCTGTCATCTGATCATAGAAGTTTCCCATCTGGATTAGGCAAGATCAGGTGATGCAGAAGCGTTCTCTCTCTTCTCTCTCTCTCTGTCTCTCTCATCTCACATTTGTCTATCTCTAATCTATCTAACCTAATGGCTAAGCCATTCAATAGCTGAAAATGTTTGGGTGGTGTTTAGCCTGGAGAAGAGAAGGCTGAGGGGAGGGAGGACAGCTCTCTTCAAGGACTTGAAAGGTTGTCACACAGAGAAGGGCCCAGTTCTTTCCTCAAGCATCCCAGAGTGAAGGGTATGGGCTAACGGGCTCAAACTGCCGGGAGCCAGATTCTGGCTGGACATCAGGAAGGAGCAGGATGACCAAGGAGCAGGATGACCAGCAGGGGGGTTGTGGGCTCCCCCACACGAGATGCATTCAAGATGCAGCTGGGCAGCCGCCCGAGAGGGATGCTTCAACCTGGGGCCACTAATCCTGGGGCCCCTTCCAGCTCTTATTCTGTGATCCCGTGGACTGCACTAGGACTGGGCCCTGCTCTCGTTCTGCGGATCCCATAATATGGTGGGTGCACCCTCCGCCTCCTCTTCCCCTGGCAAGGTTTTTAGCGGGCTCTCCGGCCGCCATGTGCATCGTGCTTGTGGATCAGCTCCCCACTCCCCGTGCTCCTGCGCCTCTTCAGCGGTTCCCCTGGCACCCACGTATGAGCTCTGCGCAGTGTCTTCGGTCTAAACACCTGCCCAGACCAGCCAGGGCCTTTTATTTCTTCTCATTTTTGGCTTCTCTGTTTTGTTTCCGCCGTGCCGCCACCTGCCCCCTCCCAGAGGAAACGACTGCGGTACTCAGACCTGGATTTTGAGGTGAGCAGCCCTCTTCCTCCCTGTGAGCATCGCTGTGGGCAGAGTGGCTCTCGCAGGGGAGCTGGCGCATCCTCGGCCTGGCAGCAACGAGCCCGGGGCAGGTCCCCTCCGATGCTGCACCATGGGCTTTGGTTGGCTCCCAGGAGCCCTGGGAGGGGCAAAACATTTCACACTGGCTCCGCCATCTTGCAGTTCCCAGGTTCCTTTTCATGTTGTGCAGGGAATAGCGCAAACCTATAGATTTGCCCATCCCGGCATGCAAAGAGTGGGTCTGCAACCCCTGCTCCACCCCCCCGCCAGCGTTGCCAGGTGAGCACTGCACAGAAGTGGGCCTCCTCCAGCCAGACGCCAAGAGGCCGTGGGAGTAAGAGCCCAGCTCATTCGGGAGGCACAGGCTGGGAGAGGAGACCCTGCGCATGGGCTTCTGCATAAATGCTCCGTCGAAGGGGGCTTTGTCTCTTCCTGGCACTCAGCTGTGCTTTTCCTCAAGCAGCTCCATGTTTTTCCTGCAGTTTTGTCCTCCCACTTCTCCCCTCTGGTTCCGCTCTCCCTTTTCTCCCTGGAAACGAACAGAGCGAAGCACAGAATTCGGCAAAGCGCACGTGGTGCATGCCGGGGGCACACAGGCAGCCTTTGCTCGCTCGTTTCCCAGGAAACCACGGCGTGGGTGAGGCCGGCAGGTGTGGCCTTTGGCGCGAAGAGATGCGCCGCTCCTGAGCGGTTGACCCTCGGGGTCAGGACTGCCAGGCGGCGATCCCAGCCATGGGTCAGAGGGGCCCAAAAGGCCTTCCAAGCCACGCTTGCATCATCCAGCGGTGTGGTGGGGCACATTTCCCAGAGGGCTTCCCCTTGCAGCTCCATGCAGGCCGGGGGCAGGCAGGCGGCCCTCCGTGTCCGGGGCAGGAGGGGGCTTGGACCAAGGTGGGAGAGGCTGCGGCCGCAGGGAGGTGCTGGAGATGGTGGGGCGAGAGACTCCATCTGGCAGCGGCCCCGCAGGCTTCTGGTTCTGCGCAGCGGGCAGCACCGCGCCCCCATTCGCCCCGGGGGGCCCTTTCCTCTCTCCAACCACTTTCTTGCCTGCCACTTACGGAGGAGAGGATGGACGAGGCCCCACATTTTTAAGGGGCAATAAAAGCTGCTGGCCGTTGATTGAAATACTGGAGCCAAGGATGGGAGTCTATTGGCTGGATTTATGGGAAAAGTGGCAGTATCTTTTTCCAGTTATCAAGAAAGATTGGATGGGGGTGTCATTCCAACAGGCCCTAGAGGCTGCTCATTCATCGATTTCAACCCATAAATGTTAATCTGGAAAGATCTTGGACAGTGGAAGTTCCTGCTGAGAAGACGGGGTGCTTCTCCTGCTGGCCCTTTTGGGAGCCCTGCGGCCGTTTCAAGCTCGGCTCTTCCGTTTTGTTTTTCTCTACTGCTCCAAAGTGTTGACCTTCATTTTTAAATTAATTGTATTTTTCACTGGCTGCTGTTTTTTATCCATTTTTACCAGATGTTATTAATATATTTACTTGTTTGTGGATTACTTACCTTTTACTGTAGATTGTATTAATGTTCTTTGGGGAGCATTTATTATTCTTGAATTATTTTAGAGCATGTATCCCTGTTACCCTTAATCAGTCAGGCTCCCAGGGCAGCTTACAGGCTTGGCACACAAAGAGAAAGGGGTGGGGAGGGGGGCAAGGAGGGGAAGAAGGCACTAATTCTTGCAGTATTCACCGTGCAGTTTTTACAGTAACCGGCTGCAGTACAGCAGGAAGCTGTTTGTCTTCATGTCACAACCAGCTGGAATGGGAAAGGTTCAAAGAGAGGAGGAGCCCAGAATGGCCAGTCTCTGTCCTGTCTCTCTTGCTCATTATGGGCGAGGGGGTGCTGATGGATTTCAGCTGTGGGTGAGAGAACCCCGATGAAGCCTGCTTGTGCCAGCACCCAAAACTCGTTCCTGTATCTAGGGGGCAGTGGTTCAACTCTGGCAAAACCTGTTTCACAGCGGGATGGAGGGAATATGACTGCCCAGGGCAACAAGGGCCCCATTGGACTACCAGCAACTGCTAGCCAGCTCTCGGGTCTTTATGAGTCCCAGTCAGTTTTCCATCTCTTCCAGTAAAAATTTCCTTTGGAAAACCAAGTGATTTTAGCTCAGCAGTATGCGTGCTGCTTTTCATATATGATGAGCAGCAGTTGGAATCACACAGCACATAGGGAAACCATGGCATTCACTTCTCCAAGATGGAGATTTCGGTGGCTTCAAACTAGGACTGGGCAAATTCCTGGAGGCAATTGCTTTTAATGACTACTAGTCCTCATGATTCATGGCTGTTCCCAGAATCAGAGGCAGTATGCTGTTGCATACCAGCTGCTGGGGTGCTGATGCACGCATACCCTGCCAGTCGGGTTTTTGTGGGAGACTCTGGTGTGTGACCAGAATGCAGGACTTGAAGGCCTGTGGCCTGATCCAGCAGGGTGCTCTGCATGATCCTATTTCCATAATGTGCACAACAGCCCAGTAATATTGACCAGTACTGATCACTCAACAAGGAGGAAGACTTACTTGCTCAAGGCCACCTAGGGAGTTAATGGCCAAAGTGAGATTTGAACTTGGTAAAAAGAGGGTCTTTCCAGCTCGTGTTTTCAGTATTCGGGTTCTCTGGGTAGTTATGTGGGGGCTGGTGGGAGGGGAGCACACATCTTTGTCCAAGTAAGCTCTGCTAACACAGCCTTGCATTCTCTCTTCCCTTCATTCTCGCTCCTCGTGGGGATTACTGCGTTAAACATTCGCAGAAAGTCATGCATACAAGAAAGCGCCACTCGGAACTTTACCACGAGTTGAACCAGAAGTTCCACACACTGGACCGATATCGGGTTCCAGCTACGAATGCTGCAAAGGTAAAGATGGACAAAGAGGGACAGAATCGAATCTTTCCCCGCAAGACAAGATGGCCGTGCAGCAGTCCTGCTGAGCAGCACTTAATCTGAGCCAGGATTCAGAGGCAGAACTTGTTTTAATGGCCCTGAAACATGAGATGCGATTTTGGTGATGCAATGCAAGCGACGCTTCTTGTAATGGCCACACAGCAGACATGTGTGCTTGGTTTTATTAGGACTTATGCGAGCAAGCAAGGGAGGTGGCAAGTCTATTTGCAGCTATTAGCAACGATGGCTAGAAATAGACGCTTCCGCGTGGCACGTCACAAGGCTCTGCTACCCCCGCCCCCCATGCCGAAGGCAGGCCGCTGGCTGACGCAGTGAGCGCTGTGCCGAGCGGAGCGTCTCTTTGCTCCTGGCCCAAGCGACACTTTCTGAACTAGGGTTGCGCGTGCACTTGGAACGTGCAGGGAGAGTGATGTTTGCCAGTTCCAGCCTCAGCTGGCTTGAGCTGCTTCAGAATTCATGTCATCCACCAGATTTCACATTTGCTGAAATTGCAGCTCTGTTCTCAACTCAATAATGTATCAACATTTGCTTTTTTAATGTGTATTTTAGGAGAGAACCTGTTTAGAAAATAATGGAGAGGCATTATTTCAACTTGGATTTTTATGTGAATCTGTAAAAAAGAAAAAACAGGGGGCAGAGCAGACTGATGGTTGAATGTCTGAGAAAGTGGTGCAGACCAAAAATAGGCATGAATCATCCATCTGTGGTGTAAACCCGGCTGTAGCATTTGAGTCCCAGACTGAGAGGTGGCAAGCGTTCGGCTGAGGCTGGGGGGCGGGGGCGAGTAGATGGGCCGGACCTCCCAGGATAAATTACGGTTCTTCTCATGCAGAGGGAGAAGCGATGGAGCGTCTCTTCAGGCAGCGGGGAAAAGAATATGCCTGGGGTAAGTACTCTTTCACACTGGGCGGGAGCGAAGCAGGTGCATCATGGGAGAGGGATCTGGCATTGGTCGAGCTGATTAGCTGCCACTTAATGCAATAACTGGGTGGTCGGCTGGGCCTGTCACAGTCATACCTGCGGGCCCAAAAGGTAATCCTCAGCCCGCAGGGTGACCATCCGAGGCCTTCCCGGGGGGTGCTGGAGTGCGCAGAGGACCCCAAGCCCTGCGTGGGGACGCTGCGCAGCACAGCCCCACCTGCGTCTCCTCAGGGATCGCTGCCACTGAGTGGCGGGGCTTCCTCCCAAGCGGGTGGCTCTGGCGAGGCCGCCTAAATCGCTCTAAGGCTTCAAGTTGCCAGTCCCTCTGGGGCCTGTCCTGGTCCAAAAGGCGACTGGGAGAGGACTTGGTGAATAAGGAGGGCTTTGCGACAGGAGGTGCTGAGCGGGTGTGTGGCGCTGCACGCTCGCTCAGCCTTTCGCAGGCGGCACTGCCCACGAGTCCCCCAGGGCTGCTGCGCCGCTGGAAATGTTGGACATCTGCCGCTTGCAGGTCTGCAAATGTGGCGGGGCAAGCCCTGAAGGCAGCGATTTGTCTTGGCTAAGTATTTCCATTAGCATCTGGCATTTGCAAATGGGAGAGGCGAGGCGGCTGTCAGCGCCTCCTCAGTTTGCATCCGATACCTGTGTCCTCAGAATTGTCCTCAGTGCTGTCTGGCGACACCCTGCCTGCAGAATGTGGGTGGGGGCCTTTGCTCCAGGGCGGCTTGCCCCGCGGCCCCGGAGCTTCGTGCAGGTCTCTGCAGGAGGAGGGAGCTCAGCCGGCACTTGGAGGAACGGCTCCCCAAGCCCTGTCGCCGACCGTCCCAAGCTCCACTGGGCTCCATCCCAAGGGGGGCAGAAACCCCCAGGCCTGGCTCAGCTCCTTCCCTGTCTCAGTACATTTGTTTGCGCCACTCCACCCAGCTCCACCAGCTGTGCTCTGGCATTGCTTCCAAAGGGAGAAACGTACGAAGGGAGCCTTCCTCTCCAGATACGTTGCGCTGCAATGCCCATTGTCGCCATGCTGGATGAAAAACATGGGGATTGCAGTCCATTGTTGCTGGAGGGAGCCGGCTCCTAGCAGCATGGAGGGATGCCTTGCACAGCTTGACTGACATAAAGGACGCCATGGCTGGAGTAGCTCGGCTGCAGTGACGATGCCTCCCATGAGTGGGTGGTACCAGGATAACTCCCCTTCTTGCCTCCTCGTTCCTCCTCTGCCTTTTGCCTCTTTGGCTGCATCTTGCGGCATGTCTTCCTGACTGAGCACTGCGCAGAGATCTCTAGTTCTGCAGTGCTCTAGAATTCCAAGGGGTGATTCTTATCACCTCTGCAAAACCTCTCCAGTGTGTTCTTATCCTGATTAGCACCATTTTGCTTCACTTACACTTGTTATTGCTGCAGCCAACGAGGAGTACTGACAGTGCTGAAATGCTACGTGCACCGGCCCACCCGGCCAGTCACGCTTGCGCGGTGAAAGGGAGAGGGGAATCTACGGCCAGGCCAGGCCATTCCAGCGAATGCAGCAAGATCGGAGAGGACAGGGAGGAGCCTGGCCTGCTCGGAGCAGCAGCAGCTCTGCAGAGTTTCACACAGAAGTTTTCCAGGCTGCCCCTGGAGAAGCCGGGAGTCAAACGGGGGATCGGAGCCCCATCCAGTTCTGGGCCTGCCTCTCTTGTGCCTCTGAGCTGTGGCAGCCCGTGTTTGTTGCAGGCGCAATTTCGCCCCGAGTCACTCTCCTGTCCTCTTTTCCCAACAGGAAGTAACCAGCCCAGAGAACCGGCAGCAGAAGCAAAAGTCTTGGAGCACATTCAAGGCCATGACGCTGAGCTCCTTGCCTTCCAAACACCGGGAGAAACTGGAATTGCACTCTGCGGACTGGGAAAAGCATTGCATGAGCCTGGACCTGTCAGAGGGAGACTTCCAGACGGAGGTGTGAGCCTCGAGGACTCGGCGATTTAGCAAACTATAAAAGTATATACATATATATATATATTTTCACACTGACACTTTGGGAAAAGAAGCAAGACAAGGCAAAGAGGCAGCGCCTTCCCCCTCCAGTGGTTCTGTTGGGGAGGGGTTTTCTTCGAAAGCGTGGCCACCCACAAAGGAGAGGGGCATGGGGGCAGTGCGCCCCTTCCCCAGCCGACACGTAGACATGGCCACACAAGGCCCCTCCATGGTCACCTGCGCCACCTGGCGACCCGAAGGGAAGGGCTTCTTCGCCCACCACCACCACCTGTCTGCCGGCCCACCTCCCCGCAGCGGTTCACCATTGCCGGGACACCAGATGCGCTCACACAATCACGCCAGCCTCCGCCCACCGGATCTGGCAGGGGTGCCTCCCCTGGGGACAAGAGGACTGTTGCAACTCTCTTTTCTATCTGGATCTTTCCTCACGCCCTGCACTGTGTGCACGGCCAGCAGGCTGGGATAGAAGCTGCCGCCCTGCGACTCCCCACGAGGCCTGCCTCCTTCCGCCCTTCCTTCTCCCGCTCCAGACCGTCCCGCCTGGGCAGCGCGGGGAAGCCGCCCTCCTCTTCCTCCACCCCTTCCACACCAGCTACCCTCCTGGGAAATGCCCCCCCCCACACACCTTTCTCCCTCATCCTCTCTCTCGCAGGCCCCGTGGACACTGTTGTTTGTTGGAAATAAAAATTCACTCTGTGGACCTTTTGCTGCTGTCTGGTTCTCGCTTTTGCTCAGCTTTGGGCTGATTGTGCTCAGCAACGCTCAGAGGCCTCTCGGTGCAGAGAGGGGAGGGGCATTCGAACAAGTGCGTTTCGGGTGGGAGGAGGTGCCAGGAGCAAACTCCAAGGTGCGTTGGGGTGGTCCTGCTGCAGCCTTCCCCAGCTGGTGCCCTCCAGGTGGGTGAGAGTCCAGCCCCTGGCACCTCTCAGCCAACATGGTAGGAGTTGGAGTCCAGCCCATTGAGGGGTAGCGCACTGGAGGAACTGGTCCCATCGCCCCACAAGAGTCACAAGCAGGGAAACGACGATCAGGCTGGAACCTGGCACTCTTGCGCTCACTGGGCATCTTTCCCATACTCGACCCCGGCCAGGAAGTGAGCCGAGATCAAGTCGAAAGCTCTCAGGAATGCTGCCGGCTTCTTTGGGTCAAGTGCCTAATCCTTTGCGCAAAAATGCAGAGTACTTGATTCTTTGTGTGAAATATACCAAGTATGCAAGGCTTTGTGCAAAATATCCCAATTACGTAATTCTTTGCACAAAGGGCCCAGACCCCAGACATCACAAGTGCAGAAGCGGGACTCCCCTCAGACTCACATCCCACCAGATGCCTGCGCGGACGCTCGGCATGAGGCGGGCTTGGAACAGACCAAGCGGGGCGGAATCCAGGGAGCCGAGCTGAGGACAGCCGACGGATCCCACCCTCGGGCTGGATTCCTCACGCACAAGCACGCTCCGGCAGGGCAGCGCTCCGCTGGGGGCAGCAGAGGACGGGCGAAAGTGCCCGTTGCCTGGTGTGCAAAGCAGTCCGTGCATGATTACTCAGAAGCAGCCCCCCTGCGCTACGGGAGGCACTACAGGAGGTGGGCGCCACGCTCCATTCCTGCTCCCATCCCCCACCAGCTGCCGTCCCATCTCCTGCTTGCAAAGAAGAAAAGGGCTGATCTTGGGGGAGCGGGCCAAAGCAGCCCGTGGTGGGCGGACTCCCTCCTTGGCGGGAGACCCCCTCCCCCTCTCCCTTCCCAGGCACACAGGGACAGCCAGCTGGCAGCACAGGGCTGCGGCCATCTTCCCTGTATGTCCTGGTGGGGGAGCTCCCAGTTCCCACGACCCACAGGGAAGAGGGCCCTGGAAGCGCTCCGGCTCGGCAGCCCCCTTTGCTCATCCTTGCGCATACAGAGGAGAGGCCCCGTGGGCCGGTCCAGCCAGCAAGGGAGTCCTTCGCCAGCCGCGCACAGCATGCAACTTTTGGACTGGGGCAGGGGTGCTCTGGGTTGCCAGGTGCAGCAGGTAAACTGTGAAATACCTTTTCATTCATATCAGAATGGTGTGCGGCAAATGGCAAGAAAAGGCAATGAAAGGTGAGACATCGGGAGAAAAGAAAGTGCTTCAGCAAACCCTGCAGCTTAGCCTTGTGGGCTCCTGCCTGATCCCAGCGGCACAGACATTCCAGGGCATGGGTCCAAGCCATTAATGGTCCTACTCCCAACCTGTGTGGGACCCCCAGGAGTGCATCTTCAGAAGACCTCAGTGATCAGGCAGGATGGTCAGAGAGAGCAGAATGGAGGTGGGATTTCAAGGCAGAGCTCTGTGCTCCGTACCCCCCAGGTCGGTAAGCCTCCTATGGGCCTGGCACCGCCTTTGGCCCACACCGAGGCCGGGCTGATGCTTGGCCTCCACCATAAACTTCTCTCAGGATGATGACCTTCTGGATCCCCTGCTCTTGATGCCGAGGCATAAGGAATTCCCACCTGTTCTTTGTTTTCGCTGCTTTTCCAGAGGTTTGCACAGGGATTGTTCACCTGCATGTGCTATCCCTTTGAAATAAGACAGAGAGCTGCAGGGGAAAGTGTGTGGTTAGGACAAACCAGCTTCTCAGAGTTACTATTCAGGCTGTAGCCAGTCTTGCTTTATCACAGTGCCCTGTTCTTACTGTGTTGTCCATCTTTTTCTCATTGCAGAGCCCAGCTGAACAGACGCATCTCATGGGGACCTTAAATTAAGCTGGTTTCTTCTAGCAGTCTAGTTCACTGTCTTCTTTCCCCACTGTAGCCCAAACTCCTGGAGTTGTGCCTCTTGGAATGAACATGGCTACTCAGCATTTAGTCCTGCTGGAGTTCACCAATTCCATAACAGAGAAGCATGAGCATTGGGTGCAAATGCCACTTCCTTTCACCTTCGGAAAGCTGGAAATTTGTTGGCCTCTCTAATTTCCATTGGAGCCTCAGTTTCTCCTGGCTTCTTTCCATTCCCCTGTAGGTGGAATAGAGATTTATGGATATGAGTATTCTCCATCTTGTCTACATTCTGGGTACTGTCAGACTGCTTCATTCTGTCATTTGCTCATTAACAAGATTGGGTTTTATGCAAATCCAACTGTATGTAAATCTGCTAATTCCTGAAGATGGACAATTCCCCCTCCAACAGCTGCAAATCTCAGTAATACACACACACACACAATGTATTTGGGGAACATACACATTTTAGAGTGGTGTTTTAAAAAAAATCTGTACTTTTCTATAACTAAATTTGGGTAAAATTAAGGAAAGTAAAACAAAAACAGCCTGCAGAATCCGGGCAACTTGGGAAGAGGTCCTGCTGCAGAATCCGTGCATTTGAGTCTTAGAAATTTAAACCCACTGGAATCCGCTGTGGACCGCTGTGAGGAGCTCACCCTCACTCGCCGTCCTGCAGCCCTGGCAAAGCTCGGTAGCCAGCTAAGTGGAGGTGCGTTTGCGGCACGGTGCATTTCAGGCCTCCTCACCCCTGCCTGGGGCAGCCATGCGCCTCCTCAGAGGAAGTGCTGCCTTTGGCACGTGCTGCAGCTCCCTTGCGCACCCGCTCCCCTCTGAATTAACTGGGGCACTGCCGTGTGCCGCACGCAAGCTTGAGGGAAGCGCCTGTGCCGCTGAGGCTCCTGTTGAGGCTCCTGTTGTGTGGCTCATTCGCTCTGGTCGATTGCAGGAGCCCGTGAGTGCCCCACATGGACAAATGAGCCCCGAGGCGTGTGGCGTTGGGGACGGACCTCTGCGTCTGACAAGCCGCTCAGCTCCTGGTGGGAACCTGCCCAGTTCCCAAGTCCTGCCCCTGCTCTCTCACTGGTTGATCGGGGCTCTCATCAGCGCCGACTGCCAACAGCACCGCTCGCTGGGCTAGCCCCCCATTCCCGTGGGGTGGCTGGCCAGTGCTGCCACTCCCTGGACCGACAAGTCCCCTCCTTGTTCCCCAGACCTTTCCTGGCCTTGATCTGATAGCATCGTTTGCTGGCATCCCAGAGCCCCTTCATCTTCGCTTTCGGAACTCAGATTCCCGTTGAAGGTATAATCAAGTCGCAAGTGTTCTGGCACCTTTTCCTTGTGCGCACAAACACCAGCAGCAAACTACTTACATGTCCCAAATCTGCTTTTAGAAGTCCTGCTTACATTGGAATTCAAGAGGAAAGCAGCTGAGCACCAGAAAAAGATCCTGGGAAAGTGCCACGCACCACGTCGATGTGCAGCTCCATCAGACTCGGGGGATCCCCAACTTTCTCCTCCCTGGGGCTTCTGGAGAAGGCCAGTGGGCTGGCTGGGTACAAAATGGTGTTGCAGCCTGTGATGGAGCTTGGATACTTGGCAGGCAATGGCTGATATTTTAGGTCTCTTTTCCTTCTTTGGAAATCACAGAATCACAGGAGAGTAGGGTTGAAAGGGGCCTGTGGGACCATCAAGCCTGACCCCTGCTCATCGTAGGACTCCAAGTAAACCTTCACTCTCGGCTGTCCCCAGCGTGAGAGAGCCCGCCACCTCCCTGAGTCGAGTTCCCTTCCTGTACTGCTCCAACAGTCAGGAAGGTTTTCCTGGTGTCCAAGGTGAATCCAGCCACATCCTTTGCTCTGGCTATTTCCTTGAGCTGGGAGTTCCATCATTTGGGTTTTGTGCTGTTTTACAGGCATTTTGGGGATGAATGTTGCAGACCCCAAGCCTCTGAGTTGGTGTTTCCAGCACGGTTTCCATGGGCCCCAGCCTGCCCACTGGCACCTCTCCCAGTGCCCATCTGTCTCCCTGCCCACCCACAAATTCTATTTCACAGGATTTTTTGAACCATTTTGGGCTGGAAGGTTCCTGTGCTGCAAAGCAAAGTGCTGCCCTTCATTTGGGTTCTGAAGGAAGTGTTTGTGTGGCGTTCAGACCCCCCCCCCCCCCCCCCCCCCCCCGCCTTGCACTGCGCTTCTTGAGCGAGCCCTTCCCCGTCAGCCGCACCATTTTGCTGCCTGGGAAAAGGATGCTTGGCGAGGGGCCGTGCCCACGCTGGAGTCGGTGGGTGACGAGAAGGCCCTCCATGGCGACGCTTTTGCGCCGGTGCCCGCAGCAACCTCAGAATCGCACATGTGTCCACTGACCCCCAAAGACTCAGGATTCTAGTTGAGAAAAAGTGTATTTTATACTGGTTTTTCTCCCCACACACTCATCTCCAAAGGCTTCTTGCGCATTGCCTGTCATTTTTAATTTTTTGTTGTAAGCCGCCCCGAGGCTTCGGCGAATGGGGCGGCATAAAAATGTTTTAATAAATAAATAAATAAATAAATAAATTTCTTCTCCCCTTTTCCACACGCTTAACCTCAACGCACTTGCCGATCCTTGTTATCACTCCCTTCTGCTGCTTGGAATGAACTCCTGCAAAGTACACCGCCTCTTCCCTCCCCATCCTTTCTGTCCCCAGTGCACTGCTGCTGGTGTGGTGCAGCTGTGGCATGGGCCATCCAGCCATGCAGCTCCAGACAGCTTGCCGTGTGAGACCCACCTGGCGCATGGCTAAGCTCCAGGAAGGGTCCTAAACAACCAACTGGGAAGCAGGATTGTTTCCACCTGAGGACTGACGACTTCACAAGGGTGGGTAAAGGAAGGCCTGTGGGTGGAGAAAGTTCAGTCCCCCTGCCCACCTCTCGCCCCCTGTTGTACAGGCAAATGATCAAAATCAGTTTACAATTTTGTCTTCAAACACCTGCAG